TACTACTACTACTACTACTACTACTACTACTACTACTACTACTACTACTACTACTACTACTACTACTACTACTACTACTACTACTACTACTACTAGCTGTTATTAGCATCCACTACTGCACCTGATACGAATTGTACGAAGCGATGCCAGTGGAGAGACAAGCAAGGGATATTTCAAACATGCAGTGGTCGCTACTGCTGCTGCTGATGCTGATGCTGGTGTAGGAAGGGCAGCGTGCTACTACTTAGTACTACTACGACAACGCCTGACTTGGGCCATACCATTCATACCCCCACAAGTACCTTTATCACTGCAATGAATACTTATGAGCACATACATGGAATAGGAAAATAGGGCTTTACCTAGCTAATATCATATCAATTGAGAAGGCTGAGCTAAAACAAAAGCCAATTCTGTAAGCCATCAAGAAAGACAAAGGATGAGATGAAGGCCAAGTACAATGAACGGCGATGCTATGTGTCGATCAAGACAATGACACTGACTGGCACGAATAAACAGTACAACAGTTTCATTGGTTGTGAATGATTGATTGATTTGATTTATTCATTGGCTGTGTATGTTGTTGTACCTGGTCAATCCATTTATGCATGCTAGAGGTAAGCTAAGGTATATGACACTATCAAGTTAGCCAATTGTTGCTGATGCTGCCCCCATGCTGATGCCGATGCTGATGCTGATGCTAATCCTGATGCTCATGCTGATGCTTAAAGCCATGATCTGCCACGTTTCCTGGGAGGAGAAAAAACAAACAAGCCACGCCAGCCAGCGTGCCGAGGGGCAAGCTGGAATGGCAGAGCGCTGTATCAGTCACGTCACTGCCGTTCCTTTGTTGGTTCTTTGTTCTGTTGTCGAAGCAAGACCTGGAAGAAGACTAAAACCAAGTTGGAAGATCGTCCATGTCCGCCGTGACTTTGAGGTCCAAGCCAAGGCAAGCCTAAAAAGTCCAATTCTCGTCCACCGATTTGATAGCCCATTCAAACTTCTCGCGGAGAGTCTTGGAGAACAACTTCTCAATAGGCACGTTGAATTTCTTGCAAAACACCACCGTCAACCGTGGGTCGATGTAGTTCTGTAAGACACAAAGAAGTCAGTCAAAGTGTAACTCTAACCGCGGCAATGAAAAAGGTGGTCAAACTTACAATCTTGGACGTGCCCAGAGCCACCTCTTTATTGTTCTCCTTGTCCTCCGCCTGGACGGACATGGTGGCGATTCTGGCGTCAAACTTTTTGATGTTCTCCTCGAGTTTCTCGATCGACGGCGACTTGCCTTCGGCCTCGACTTTCTTGGTCTTGTTTTCCTTTTTGAACTTCTTTTCGAGCTCTTTGACGGCTTCCAGACGTTCATCGAGTTCCTTCTGCTTCATTGGCTTCTGTCCTTCGGCCTGCAGTTTCTCATTGTCCTTTTCGAACTTCTTGATGATCTTGTTCCTTTGTTCTTCGACCAAGTACGCCTGATGTTCCTGGATCCAAGCCTCGTCCAGATCCTCAGGCAAGGCAAAGTATTCGGCTCCCTTCTTCTTCTTGATCTTCGGGTCAATGTCCAGCATCATCTGTTTCAGTCGCCATTGCTGGTACTTAAGACCTTTGAGTCGATTGCCAATCTTCTCCATTTGGTTCGTGTGAGTCGCTGCCACGGTCCGTTTGTGGTTGCACAGAATGGCCACTTTGCGATTCGCATCGTTGAAATCTTTGACCTTTTCGGCCACCGACCCTTCCGATCTCATTTCGCTCAACAGCTTGGACATGGTGTATGAGGCATTGTAGGTACGGAACACCTTTGCAGTCAGGCCAGGCATGTAGTTCTTGAGATGGTTGTTGAGTTGCGTTGTGGTCAGGCGGTCGAAAATGTCGTCGCCTTCCTTTTTCGGAGGCTTCTTGAAGATTTTGAGGTTCTTGAATACTTGTGGGTCAACCTCGAATTCCTCGTGGAACCGAATACTGTCTTTGCCCAGAAAGTCAAAGATGACTGTGTTGGGGGCACGTAGCGTGATGTGTTCGTACTTCAGCGAACAACAACCAACCGTGTCGGCTTCATCTTCGCCTTTCTCATTACCAGCTCGGAGGGCGAATTGATCGATCAAGTACATGGCGGTTGCTTTCTGTCGATCGGCCATGAGTTCCGATTTGAGATCTTTGCGGTAGTCTTGACGGATCCGGTCAATGTGCTTCTTCAGTTCCCGAGCCTTTTCAAACTTCTTGTAATCGCTTTGGCCTTTGATATCCGAATTGGCCGCAAGCATGACATACTTGTAGTTGCCGTTGATGTTTTCCTGCCACATAGCCAGCCAGGTGCCTTGTTTGTCATGCTTGATCTCTTTCCATTTGTGGCCTTCCGGCGGAGGCGGCACCTTGGCTTCTTTGCCAATGTTGAGCGTGACCTGTTCTGGCATTACCCTAGTCTTGACTTTCCCCGTCTTTGGATGTTCACCCCGACCACGGAACAACCCAGGAGGTTCGACGCGGAAGTTGCCGACTTTCTGCTTCTTGCCATCCCAGATGCAGTACATGTATGGAGCCTCGGCCTCATCTTTGGCTGCTTTGAGCGCTTTCTTTTCCGCCGCAGGTAGTGCCTTCTTGGCTGCTCGCTCAGCTTCGTAATGCTCGAAGATCGGTCGGAAATCGCACTTCGCAAACTCCTTGATCTCAATCTTCTTGCCAGTTTTGGCGTCGGTAGCTCCACCCGTTTTCTCCAGGATTTCTTTGAAGTCGTTGAAGAAATTCTTCTGGAAGGTAGGATTCTCCACGTTGTGCGTCGAATTCAGCATGGACCCGAAGAAACCGGCAACCTCCTCGGCGTCTGGATGAAGTGAAATTGGCACACCGTCGTATTTCATCTTGACATGTTCTGGGAGTGGTTGATAAGGCGGTGGGAACACGACACCATTGTGCTCCAGAGTCTCCCACTTGTTGGTTCCATCGCCTTTGGTAGGATCCTCCCACCATTTGACCTCATCATCGTCATCTTCTTCGTCTTCGGGGTCGGCAGTCTCCTCCTTCTTGATGGACTTCGAGGTCTTCTTTACCGGTGTGGAAGACTCGGTCTTGACTCTCCTACTAGCGGTTGCTGGCGCGCGCTTGGCCAATGGTTTGTCGTCGTCACTGGATTCTTCTTTCTTCACCTTTTTCGCCGGGGCAGCCTTTTTGGCCTTGGACTTGTCGGCTTCCTTCTTTTCGTCCTTGCGGATCTGCTTGGCCTCTTTCTCGGCAGCCTTTTCAATGTTTTGTTTCTGCTTGGCCAATTTCTTGCCCAGTGGAACATCAGAATCCGAAGACTCGCCGATCTGTGACGCCTTCACGCGTGGCGGATTGGTAACGGTCTTGCCGTTGGTTTTTGCCTTGGAAATAAGAGGGGCATCGTCGGAGTCGGAATCGGCGGGCGCTGTCGTGGTTTTTCGCTTCTTACTCTGCATCTCAATCAGCTCAAACGTCCACCAGACCAGCTTGAAGCGGAGGTTCGTACCAATGGCACATCATCGTCGCTGCTTTCGGCCTCAGCATAATCTGGCCGTGTAAGACTGTCTCGGGCCTTCCGCTTGGCTCCGTTGACCACATTGTCATTGCCGTCCGTCATAGGTGTATCTTCAACTTTCACATCCCCGTTGGCCATGGATATGCCTGGCATGACCTCGCCATTGGTAGGGATTTCTCGGTCCATCGTAGCGTCCACCGTCGAAGGAATCTTTGACGCAGAGAGCGCGTTGGTGACTGCAAGTGAAGGGGTTAACATGACTGGACGCGCAAATAAACGAACAAAGGCTGGCGTTGGAATGCCTGACAGGCCACAACATACCTCCATTCGTCCCGTTAGACTTCCTCGACGCTGCGATAGGCATATCATCGCCTGAGGACGCCATGATGCGCGTATCTAGAGTGACGCCACGTAAGACTCGAACCGGCCTCAACTGAAGAGGCTTAACAAACGACGACCAAGGTGTCAAAGGACGTGTCCACGAGGTGGACAGTTGGCATGACCTTGCAAACGCGAGTCGACTTGTCGGAATAATGGTCGGCTATCAGAGCGTGATAGTGAGTGAAGTGACAACAAAGAGTACGCGGTCGAAGGTGACGTGGAATAGCCGAGGGACGAATGGAAAAAATATAAGAGAGCAAAGAAAAGAAAGAGGAGTGAGGCCAAGGTGAGGGCAGGTCGATATTTACCACTGGCACTCTTTATTCAAGGAGACGAGGAGTGCGCCGGCCCACTACTGGCAGTGACTGAAGGATCCTGAAGGACTCTGCGTAAAATACTATCGATCGATCGGGCCAACAGCGAACAGGCCTCCTTCGCTCTGCTTCGGGCGGCGGGAGGCGAGCGGACGCCTCTCGTGGCTCTCTACTGTTTGTGGTCGGGGATCTTGCCTCTTTAATGGCCTTCCGCCTTCGCCCTGAAAAACACGCACTAACTTCTTCGGGTCTAGTGGGACAGAAATGGCAGAGCTTCATCGGAATCAGTTGAACTGCACCGCACGTCGAGAGACTCCAGCACAGCTTCGTCGACGACAGCGACTCTCCCCTCTGCAACTTTGTTGACTCCCTCCATATTGCACCTTCACAGCTGTGCGATCGGCCGTTCTCGCCATGATGCTGTCCAGAGCTGTGAGACCAGCCCTCAGCGCCGGCAATGCCGCCTTCGCCAGGTGAGCTCAATCCCCTGCTTCCGAGTCCATTGAACAGCTCGTCTGCGGACGTCTGTGCTACCGGGAAACCATGCTAACTCGTCTACAGAGCGGCTGTGCCCCAGGTTGCTGGCTATGCCACCCTGCGAGAAATCGAGAGTACGACCACGGACCGAGTTGTCTAGATGTCCGCTAATGAATGCCAGGCCGTTTGAAGTCGATTCGCAACATTGAGAAAATCACCAAGACCATGAAAATCGTCGCCTCCACAAAGCTTACTCGTGCTCAAAAAGCCATGACCGATTCGCGAACCTACGGTCAGACATCCAACCAAGTTTTCGAAGAGGCCGAGACCAAGCCGTTGGAGGAGAAGAAGACACTGTTGGTTGTGGCCAGCTCCGACAAGGGTCTTTGCGGTGGTATTCACTCCGGATTGTCGCGTGCTACTCGCCGAATGCTCGAGACGGATCCTGGCTTGGACATTGCGGTTATCGGTGAAAAGTGCAAGGCCCAGATCGGTCGTTCCAACTCCAAGAACATGGTTCTGTCCTTCGCTGGTATCGGACGAGACGTTCCCACATTCGCCGATGCTCAGGCCATTGCCGACCAGCTGGTGATGCTTCCCGAGGACTACGCGAGCATCAAGATTCTGTACAACAAGTTTGTCAACGCTCAGAGTTACGAGCCGGTCACCGTGGAGGCATACTCGGAGGAGGCCATCACCCAATCCCCCAACTTCGCTGCCTTCGAGATTGATGATGAGGTTCTTGCCAACCTTCGCGAGTTCACTTTGGCCAACGCCCTGTACTGGGCTCTGGCCGAAGGACACGCCTGCGAGCAGTCCGCCCGGAGAAACGCTATGGATGTAAGTATTCAGTTTTTGTGTGCTATGTGTTTTGATACTGATATTATGGTAATAGAACGCCTCCAAGAACGCTGGCGACATGATCGGTAAATTTACCATTCTGTACAACAGAACCCGACAGGCCGTCATTACGGGAGAACTGGTGGAAATTATTACCGGTGCCACTGCTTCGGAAGACATGTAGGCGGGTCAATCAAGAAGTTGTACATAACCCAACAAACAGTTATTTTTGTTTGCAAACGGGCTACACCGGTTTTACACGATTATCTATCGAAGCTGATCCTCTATGATTTATTGTTGCTGCTTGTGTCGTTCTGCTCACTGCATAGTTTTATTTCAGCGAAAGGCAGGCGACGATAGTGAAGTTGCATTGCCTGCACAAATTGAGCTGCCTGGGAGGCTACACGTTTCAATTTGTTCATGGGCTGTCTCCTTTAACCTGCAGGTTCTTTTGCGACACGACCAAGTTTGCGTTCGTTGTGGCTGTCATCTCAACCACCTATCACCAGCACATACGGCCTGAGCAATAATTTTCCTACGACAACCTCCTGTCTTGACAGTCCTGGCCAGGAAGGTAAAGAATGCCTCGAAGGACCGATTCAGCAGAATGAAAGCACCTTCGTGGTATGACGATGCGCCCGAGCCGTCAGAGACTGGAGCAACAGCGCTATCGAGCTGGGATGATTCCGACTTTTCCAATCCAGATCTGGTCGAAACTAGTTATGACCCCACTATCCTGCGCAGAAGTCTGGTTTCTGGATCTGCTGACGAGATTATGCTTAAAGACGACACCAACGAGGAAGTACAGGATGCACAACAACGATTGCAGGGGCTGTATCTCATGATCACAGTTATTGCCCTAGCATTGATCCTTTTTGCGGCTCGACCTCAACTCTTCTGCAACACCATCCTTTGCCTGCTCTTCTTTATGCCATACCCAGACTTTGCAAAACATGCGAGATGGTGCATCCTCGTTCCGCTAATGCTCTATGACACGTCCAGCAGCAAGCTCGAAAGTGCTCTGATGCTCTGTCTGCTGACTACTATGAGCTGGATCGACTGGTCTTATGCGTGGGAAATGGTGTGCAGATCTTTTGGCTGGGTTTGATCAGCGGATCTCCTGTTGTGGATTGGTACGCCTTCATCCTGACTTTGATGTGGAGAAAAGGACTAACGTGTGGATAGGGGGACGTTTCCAGCTGTTGATGGGTCGAGCCATGTTCTCGATGTCATGATGGTCGAAAGCTTTTCTTACCTGGAGCATCTTTCAACCTCTCCCGTGCACTGGAAGCTGTGGGTTGGAGGAATGTATCTAGGTCGAGTCTCACCGTGTCTGTCAATCCAGCGAATAAGAAACCTTTGGGTTGGCAACTTTGATGAATTGGACTAGGGAACTTCTGACAGAACCAGGACACTGAGCTGCTTCATCACATTCGACCAGATTGTGCGATGGCTAGATGTGCCATAACAAGACTCAGACCTATGTTGAGCTTGCCCGCTCCTCTCTTGTCTTGGACCACGATTCACTGACTTGGTCTTCTATGCTAAAGCCACTGCCTTGAGCTTCACATTGAAAATACATATCTTCACCCCCTCCACTGCCTCCGCTCTTCACTACCGGCAGCAGCACGGTGTGTTGCCTGCTGGATTCTACGATCTTCACAGTCCACTGCCTCTGTTGCTACCACAACTGTATGTCTAACAGCATACTGCCTCCGTCGCTGCCGGCAACCAGATATTCACAGCGACAACAATAATGCGCCTTGGCGATACCAACTTCGTCTACATATACGCGACTTCTCTCGTCCATTGTTTCCTTTCTTTCTTTTCTTCTTTCTTCCTCCCCACCCTCAATCTTCATCGCTCACAACCAACCCAGATACCAACTATCCCAACAACCAACAACCACTCACCCATACCCAACACACCCTACCTCCTCAAACAAGACACAAGTCTTTCATCCATCTTGCTTCAAGCAATGTCCACGGACAACAACAACATCCAAACCCCCAACGCAACAATCATGTCGACAGCCAACACCAACCCACAACTTCCAACCCCGGACTCATCGCCAATCACAGTCACTATGGCCGCCAACACCTCTACTGACGTTAGTGGCACACCATCAGCCCTTGAGAGACTCGCACTGTTCCAATACGTCACCAACGTTCGCAACTACACAGTCACAGAAATTATCAACAAACTACCAGGCAACCCAACCGACCTAGCCGAACTACCTGAGATGATCACAACCGGTGACTATCGATACATCAACAACATGAGACTGGTCCTACGATACCTCAAGCGTGTTGCCAAACAATGCAAACGCCAACAGAACACCGCAGCCTGTGCCATCCTGGAACAATATCGCGAAACAGTCAAATTCTGCCATGACATGGAAGAACGTCATGCCCAACGACTCCTGCATCTTGATGATGAGGACACAGCCTATCTCAACAAGGACACAAACTCTGGATCAGATGATCAAGATACACCACCGAGAAGCCCTAGTTCCAGCTCCAGTTTCACAGCCTGGGAGGAACCAGAACCAGAAGAACCAGAACCTGCAACTCCAACCCCAAGCAAAGTCATTTCCGTTGTTGACACAGCCAATACAGACCAAGTGCCAACCGCAGATAACAAGTCGACTGCCAGTGAGCCTGTTGTTGGAACCCCAGTACAACACTGGACCAACGACACCGACCCTGACACTGAGCCCAAGTCAGATGCCGCTGAAGACTATGCCCCTGACTCCGTGGAGGGTCCAGCAACAAAGAAGGTTGGAAAGAAGACCGCCTCTACGGTTATAACTGCGCCAAAGCCCAGAAATACCAAGAAGTCCAAGAAGCACAACAAACCCAAGAAATCCCCTAAGTCCAAGAAGGGACTTACTACCAACAACCATGCAGTCGAGGAACACGCCAGCGACAAACCAACTCCAGAAAAGAACTTCAAGGTTGCAAATGTCACTACTGACAGTGAACCGGAGAAGGTTACTGGTGACACATGGTCTGAATACGACTATGATTTCGACTACCCTTTGGAGGACTCCACTGCCAACAAGGAGCTTCAGACTGAGGATGACAGTGACTACGAAGTAGTCCTTTTTATTCCACCGGAAGGAGAGGCCCATGCCTACCTTGAGCGGATAAAAAAGACCAAATTGTCCAAAGTCCATGGTGAAGACCACTCTGCCCGACAAGATGACAACGACAATGCAGTCCAGTCGGTAAGCCAAGCAGAGATCGAGTGCGACAAAGAAGAAGAACAAGAGACTACGATCCTGACCGATCCTGACACTGACAAGTCGGGAGAAGAGGATAACGACAAACACCTCCCGCTTGACAATGACACCTCTCCTGCTACAAAAGCAGCGTGGAACTGTACCGCGACTAATCAGCTGAGTCGGATGTTTGAGCTTCTTAGCATTGCCAGTGCAAATGAACAGGACAGACAGCAACAGGAAGCGGAAGTTTCTGATCTGAGTCCTGTTGAAGAAGCAGATGAACACCAGGAACAAGAAGTCTCTACTCTTGAACCTATTGAAGAAGAAAACGAAGCAGAGATTGATGTTGAGGAAGAAACCACCACGATCCTGACTGATCCCGAGCCAGAGACTGAGAAGGTTGAAGACGATAAGGACGCCGACCTGGTTGATGACACCACATCTTCTCCAAAACGACAGTTTTCTGAGACTGATCGACTGAGTCGGATGTTTGAGCTTCTTAGCATTGCCAGCGCAAATGAACAACTGAGACTGGAAGAGGAAGCTGAAGTTTCTGATCCTGAAGAACAGGACTCTGCTCCAGTCGAAGAATTGACCTCTATTCCTGAAGAAGTGGCCTCTACTCCTGAAGAACCTGCCTCTGTTCCTGAAGAGCCGGTCTATGCTCCTATCAACGAACTGGACCAGGACGAAATCGCTCGAATTCACGCCCCAAACACCAAAGAGTGTGATGACTTGAGCCATGTATTCCTATTCCCTCGAGAAGATGGACCAACACCAACTGTCGAAGAAACATCCGAATGGGAAGCAGACAAAAAAGAAATCTTCGAATGTGACAAAGTCGAAGCCACCTCCGAAGTTGACGAACTCAACGACAATGGTGAACCAGAACCGAACAAAGAACCCACCGCAGAAGAATGTTCCAATGACAACCCAGACAAGACCACAGCTGCTGCAGGACTCCATGCGCCAAACACCAAAGAATACAATGACTTGACTCACGTCTTCTTGTTTCCAAGAGAAGATGGGAATGCTGAACTTGAAGCTGCACTTGCAAAGTCTACGGAATCCAACGAAGAAACAACTCAGAAAGACATTTTGGACGAGCAAACACCATCCACACCATCATTGGGTACTACTTCTTTCAACGACAACGAAGCCATTGTTTAGGAAGCAATGAGCAACGATATGGTCGAGGAGATTCCTCAAGAAGAAGAATCTTCGACTCTGATTGCGGACAACACACCGAAGACAGCAAAGATGACTGACGCTCAAGTTCAAGTTCAAGCTGAACTTCCTGTCGCACCAGTAGCTGTTGAAAACGATACAGTTACAGAATCCAACTCCGAAATGCCAGTCGACCAGGTCACAGATTTGGAAACCAATGCAGAAGATGAAGACAAGGTTGTGCCAGAGACCGACATTGTCAAAGACAACACCACTGAGACAGAGAAGGAGAATCTCAACACCATAATCGAACCAAAACCAACAACCGTTCTCAACATCGACAAGGCCACCGTGCCAGAGACACACGACAATGACAACGCCAACGTCGAAGCAGAAGAAACTCAACCCCAAGCTGCCACAGAGCCTTCTGATTGTTCTAAATCCTCCCTCTCACTCACCACAACCACAATCTTAGTCTCCCTCACAGCCGGTGCTTTTGTGATCGGAGTCCGTTCCCCATTCGTCTCTGTATGCATGTTATACGGTGTGATTAACTATGCAAAGTACACGTTACTTTGAACGAACAACAACATACAACTCAAGCCTGACCACAGGATGTGAGTGTTGAGTTTTGATCGTGGAGGATAGGATGAACAGGATTTTTTCGTGGAGGAATGGATTAGGATTGGATTGGATGGATGGACATGGACATGATGATGTTCACAACTGAACACACTACACCGCGGAGGATACAATACGATACGACGGAGATATGGAGCGGAGGATTCGATTAGGACATTACTACAGTATTACTCGTGGAGGACGTGGAGGATGGAAACAGGACACAGCCACCACCAATTGGCAAGACAACAACGACTTCAAGGTGGAGTGGAGGGACAGGGAAGGGACAACACCAGTGATGCGATACGGAACACCAAGACGATCACGATCGACGGTCATGTGCAAGGTTCACGGTTTGGATTACTACGGCCACTGTCAGCAATGGCAGCCCGGGCCGAAAAGTTCGAAAAGTTTTGGGTTTTGGTTTTGTTTTCTGGGAGACTCAAAGTGTACGAGTATTCAGGCGCGAGTCATTATGGTTTTGCTTGTAGTTCTTGCGGTTCTTGCAGTGTTCATGTTTAGATTAGTGGATTTCAACTTGTTGTCAAGTACCAAAAGTCATTATCAATTGGATTCACTAGCATTTTGAAATGATTGAAAAAGAAAAAAAGGAGTGTTAGAATACACACTACTAGGTCCACTACCGCTTCCTCTACCCTCCCCTGCCGTATCCTACTCTGCCTTTCGTTGTAATTGCAAATTCATTTGTAATTCCAGAGTATGAATAAAGTGGTGTCGGCTAGCTATCCGACCTGTAGTAGGCCAAAGTCGAAGTACCCCTTTCTTTGTGTAGCCTTGTGAAAATCAATTTAAGTGTCCTTTGAGGTGACCGACCACTGTAAGGCGTGGTAGAGGGATCGGTTGAGCTTCACTGCAGTAATGCATATTCTCCTAACTACTATTTTCTTGTTGGTGGATATTCCTCTTCAACAAGGACCGCGATCATGGACAGACACATGACCTTCAAGTTCATCACTGGTATCTGCATGCGTACAGCAACAGTCATCATTATTGTCTCCCATGGTCATCGAAGCAACCTCTTTATCTGTTGCACTGATATCCCGCCCTCGATCAAAAAGATTCACTTTGTAGAAATTTCTGCGACTGAGTCCTCTCATGTGTTCTTTTGGTCAAGCTGTGCTAGCCTAGACCTGCTGTACATAGCACAACCCTCTCTCGTTGTCCATGGCCATTCATGATCCACTCCAAATTACGGATTCAACTCTGGCCCCGCTGAACCAGCACCAATCCCGGAACCGGAATTACCAGCAGCAGCAGCAGCCCGAGCCCTCCTTATGTTCCGTTTCCTTCTCATTCGCTCAAACAGGCCGGGACTCGTAACCAGCACGCACAAGATGCCAAATAACAGAAATATTCCTAGCACAATGTAAAGAGTCGCTGCGCTGAGTGCTGATGTGGGAGAAGAGACCGTCTTGGCCAGGTCGCTGGGGGAGCTTGTCGTTGTCGGCAGGATTGGAGAAGGTGAAGAAGAGGGAGTAATAGTATCCGCTGCTGTTGATGTCGTTGGGTTCAGTGTGGACATCAAGCTCGATCTTGACGATAGTGTTGTTTCGGTGAGACTGGAGCGGATAGGAACTGGTGTTGACTCTGTCAAACTTGAACTACTGGCAAACTCGGGGGACAAGGTAGAAGGATAGTCGTAAGTATTGGACGCCGACACTGACACCGACGCGAACTCTGGTGCCGTTGCTTTTGCTGCCGTGGGTGCCTGCGGTGGCCGCGACTGCCAAGTTGCATCGTCCGAAGCACTACTGTCCTGCCAGTAGACAGACGACAACCACGATGGCGGCCGCCATGCTGCCGGCGAAAAGTCTGGAGGGGGATGCTCTGGGTTCCAGGCCGTAGGGTTGCTCGTAATTGACAGCGAGTTGTCCGGCAAGGGCATGGGTTCCGGATGCATCGGATCGATGGTGGCTTTCTGTGGCTTGTGAAGAGACGTCCTCCAGGCTTCGGGTCGTGATCTGTATGTGCCTTGTGTAGGGCGGAAGTCAAGCGGAGGGTGCCATGACCAGTGCTGCCTCACGCTGTGTGTCCTTCTCTTCAAGTTCATGTTGAGGCGGCGTGTGAATTTTTGCTTTTCCTTCGCTTCAAGTTGTCCAGGTTCAAGTTTGGGTGCAAATCTGGTATGTGCAGAAGAAAGGCAGGTGCGACCGAGGGTCCAGCTTGAGTGCGGTGCGGATTCACTGCGACGTCCCCAGGCTCAAGATCTCGCCTAGTCGACGATAACGGTGTCCACAGCAGTGCCAGTGTGGGCATCAAATCAACAGCCCTTCAGTAATCAATCTGCGACAATGAACTATTCAAGCAAGGAGCGAAATGTAGCAAAACATGCCGTTTGCAGTTGTAGGTGCAGGTGCAGGTGCATTTGCGCGAGGTACATACCGAAAAGGGCAGGGAATTTGGACGGAACAAAACGCGAGATGAATCCAGCCATTTTCAATCTGGCAGTGAATGCTCGGTGACGGGACAACAACTAAATGGACAAACACGAAGCAATGCAACGGAGGCGATGGACAGCGACTGTAACCGCTGAAATAAGTGAAGAGGATTACCGCTGAAAGAGGATTGGATACCTACTATACAGCATGTATCGATGCGAGGTCTGGGCTTGCCCACATCAATCAAGCCTCCTGTTCCTGTTCTAGAGCCACATCGGTAGCTGTCGCTGGGGCACCAGTTTCCTCAGTGCTGCCACCGGCTTGACTGCCAGCTTGAGTACCTTCTGTGGCAGGCTCCTGGGGAGCTGGTTGCTCGTTGATCGGCGCCTCGTCCTCCGCGTCCATCTGGAGCAAAAACGTCTCCCACAGTTCGATCAACTAGTTCATAAATGTTAACAATGGTCTTATGATATCACGAAGCCGACATCGCAAAACATACCTCTTTTTGTGCCTCGACGGCGCCCTCGAGGAACGTCTCGACGCCGCTCTTGAAATCCTCCACTTTCTCCCGTTCAAATCGTTCCAGTTCTCCTCTCATTAATCGGCCCATGTCTTCAAAGAGTAACCTCGCTTGGTGTGCCCGCTTTTCCGCGTCACTTACGCTAGCACTGACTTCGTTTAACTTGTCCTGTTGACTCTTGCCCTGCCGCAAAAGCTTCTCGTGAGCGGTTCGTCGTTTGGCCAATTCGCTCTCGGCGGCATGCCAGGAATGAAAAGCTTTCTGTCGTTGCGAAAAGGCTTGCTTGACACTGCCAATCAGTCGGATATATTCATCAATCGTAATTCCCAGCGTCAGAACATCCTGTTGGGCCTGTCGTTCGTACAACTCCTGAATTCGTAGTTGGACCGCCGACAGGCCATGCAGAGGCCCGGAAAACACAGGTGACAATTCCACCTGGGCAAGATTGCTCAACGAAGAGGCATATTCGCCAGCAGCCTCCGCCAGTCCTTTCCGCTGCACCACAACAGCATCAAGGGCCTTCATCAGTGACTTGAGCTGACTTTCCAAAGCATCCAGGTAGATCTTGCGGTCATGGAACCAATCATCATGTTCGACAAACTTCCCACTGGAACCACCAACGTTGATTCCCAGGGAACTTAGCATGCCCTTGTTCTGGCCGAGATCTGGTTCCCGGTTTTCTTTGTTTTTGACGTCAAGGTTGAAGGACTCGCTCTCCAAGAAGATCTTCAGGTCAGGATCATGGTGCAATATTGGATGCGCAGCGATCTTGTTTAGCATTCTCTCCAAAGCTTGCCGTCGAGACTCGACAAATTCACTATCAAAGCGACCCACGGCTTGTTTTTCTGGAGGCGGAGGGACCACAACTCCCGGATTGTTATTGTGCAGAGAATTGTAGAGCCATAAGAAATCTCGGTAACGCCGTGTCACGGCGAATTCGGGTTGTTTATATGCTTTTGAGGTGGTCTGTTCATGTTAGCGCAAGAGTACAAAAGAGAGCGGATTGCCTTACTTTGGTGCGGACTTGATAGACAATGTGACTGGTAGCCAAATCGCCGACCTTGTGAGGATCGCCCACGGATATCTGGAAGGTCGGCTTTGCCGCCTGTTCAATGCTGATACTTGGCTGTGTCTGTCGAGCTGGTCCGGCACCACTCTGTGGCTGGACAGGAGGCGGAGGTTTGGCCCTGCCGATGGGCATGGTGGTGTCTTCATACTCAGAAGCCGGGAACCCCGAGGACGTAGCGGAGGGCTGCCGTGTGACTCTTGCATTGGCCTCTTTCTTCGGGGGGGTTGGAGCCTGGTCTGCCGATAATGGAGGCGTGTCCGCCGCAGTATCACCGCCTAACGGTCCCAGGGGATCTAAGGAGTCGTCCACGGCCTCAAGCTTGGTGGGTTGTACTTCAATCTTGCGAGCCGGTATCTTTCGCGACGAAGAGGGACGTGGACCGCCGGTACTCGTTCTCGTGGACGTCGCGGAGTCTGTTCCGAAGTCAGCATCCCCAAACCGTGTCCGCTCGGGCAGCATACTCGTAGCATCGTTTTCCTTGGAGGAACTTGTGGTCGAGTCTTGCAGCTCGTCCGACTGCGACTTGGACGGGACATCTGCGCAACGAGTTAGTGGCTGGAAGCTGTCAGGAGCGCAACGGCCGGCTTACCGCCCCAAGGTGAATCCATGTCCATTTCCCACGAATATCCTAGCAAGGCCGGTCTATAGTGCGAACTGTTGGGTGGTTGTATATGCTTGGTGAACTTACACCGCGTGGTTGAGATGTCTCGGCCACTGGTGGCATCATACTACGAGGACGTAAATGTCGCCGGCCTCAAGCGAGCCCCGATGCTTGGCACCATATCACCACCTACAATGTACAGCAATAACAGGCATCAACAATTTGTACATGTGGCGTAGGTACGTACAAAATGGCAACTTCTCGTTGTTCTTGAATTGTACATGTATCTGATACAGATATGAGGACTCTACCGTCCATATACGGGTCATCTGCGCTTGTCATTGTACCCTGACAGATCCAATGTTCCATGCCAGTTGCGAAGTATCTCACGGCTCTGCGGGTGGCCGAACAAGCTGAATCGGCTGGAAACCATGTGAGGTTGTCAAACAACAGCAGATTAAGATTGATCTCGGCTATCAAGCTCACTGGACGTGAAGCTTGTAGGCAGACGTACTGGTAGACGGGCTGATCCTGGGCGGCTGTTTGAACAGCCATGGAGGTGTGTGCAAAAGCCGAAGGAGCACCAGAGTCGAGATCGAAGGCTGTGTTTGTGGCCACAGTCCGAATTGACAAGTAGCTGTGGCGTACATCCGCAGCGATGGCTTGTGTCCACTCTCCCACTCCTCCATTTCAGCTGTTATGTTTGTTGCAGCCTAGAGACATGATACAGCAAGAATAGACCGCACCCCGAGAGATACCCCGACATTGACCAGAAACAAATTAGACTCTGTACATCCCTCAAGGTGCCAGAAGAACAATGCCTCCCGCCTCATCGGCTATTTCCAACGCCATCTCCCGTATATTTCACCCACAATATGCAGCGCACACAGTGCAACTCTATTTCTTTCCACCCTTCTTAGGCTCCGATGCCTGAGTTTCTTGTTGCGTATTTTCCTGGCCGAAGGAACTGATCAGATCCAATAAATTCATGTCGTCTTCCTCAAACATATTCTGCTCATCCTCAAAAGCCGGCTCTTTGGCTTTTCGGGCTTTTGTTTCTGTTGAAGCCGCGGGAGCAGTTGAGCCCTCCACAGCTTCGGCGTCGCCTTCCTTCTTCGCATCTTTTGCAGTGTCGAAGCCTGTACCAAACCTTGCTCGGAAACCAGCCAACCGACCAGCTTCATCATCCTCCACACTCAGCAGTTCCTTGGACGTTGGGTTCCATAAGGGCGAATTCCTCGTATCTCGAGTAGATCTGTAAACCGGCTGCGGAGAGGTGGTGCGGATCGTGAAAGCACTTCCGTCGGAGAGGGTCACCAGCTGGGTAAAAGTGTAGGGTCGCTTCGGCCGCCGCAACAGACGGGCATGTCGACAAGACTGGCAGACATATGTTGTAGGTTTGGTGGATGTGGGTAAACTGGGTAAACTCGACGGTCTGAGAACCGGGCGAAGTGCGGTCGCCATTGGGGCAGTAAGCGAAGTGGTGTCTAATATAATGACCCGACGAAATGGACGATCAGACCGGCCGCTGACGGGTTGGTTGTAGTTACAGAATTAATAACTTGAACGGGGTATATTGAAGGTTCTCAAGCATTGAAAAGTTCCGCCGAGAACATGGACGCATTGCCAGTGCACTACTACCTACTGGCAGCGCACTGCAATTGAAGGGAGCGTGCCAAGGATCTGCAGTGCTTCCACCTCCGCGGCGCTTCAGTGCAACTTCCGACTTGCGCTACTAACATTTGTACTGTTGCAGTGGTGCCAGATATTCGCGATCCATTCTAACCCGATCTCGACTTCAGCCACTTCATTGAATTAATTAATCCAATTAATTGATTTGTTGACTACTACCACTTCTCGCTGGTTGCATGCCCTTCCTCGAAATACCATCTGCAATTTCTTGCGACTGTATGGTTTGAACTGCGCGTATCCTGAATCAGCATGTCCAATCCAAAAGGCGCGGTCAGTTTCGACGCGATCATCCAAGCCGGTAAATACGCCTCCATTCCAATTGCCCTACAACCACCACTGCTGTGTGTCTGACCACAAGTTATAGATCGTCAGAGAAGGAAGAATGAAGCTCTAGCCAAGGAGATATTTGGCAAAAGCAAACAACAGACCAAGAACGACACGAGAGGCGGCGCAAACAAGAGCTCGACGCGGACTCCGGACCTCGCCAGCAGGATCACAAAGGTATAACACCCCCGATTCCATACTACGAGGACAAGCCATTGGTCTCCTCCCTCTCTGCGCGCGGTTTCCTCAGCTCCCTCGCTATCGAGACAAACTGGTCACTGACACGCACGACGCGTTTACTACAGCGATCCTCCTCCACCGCCAGTACCACTTCGTCCAGAAACAACAACCCATTCACGCCGCCTCGCAGTCAGCGCGGTGACAACGCGCGCTCCGCCCGCCTCGCCTCGGCCATCGAGACCTCATCGCAACAAGCCAATGTCGTTGTCGCCCCTACATCTACGTCCCGTCGGACAGCAGCCCAAGGCCAGCAAGGCCTAAGTATAAAAGGCAAAGCAGCAGGCCCGTTTGTAGTGGAAGCCAGCAATTTCGCTCCCGGCACCACCGCAGCGGACATCGAGTCCGCGCTGCAAGATGATACCTTGGACGACAGCGGAGTCAGCGGCATGGTCTCGTGTCGCATAGTGGCGACCAGTCCCACCGTGGTTGCCGAAATGGTCTTTACAGAAAGATACATTGCCGACAGAGTCATATCCACATATAACAACCAGAAGGCCGATGGGAGGGTTCTGAACTTGGCTCTCAAACGCTCCGGCAGAGCTGCTGGAAGCCAGCAGACCAGTCTAGCCCCCACGAAACCCGCCAACGAATTACTACCGGACGTGCCAACCACTGACGACAATGCCATGATGGAAGATATTGAGATGGAGACCGATGCCGCCGCTTCCGCCGTGGTCTACGACGACCACCGAAGTCGAAGTAGGGACCAACAGTCCAGGAAAGCACAATCCAATGGTCGCACCACAGACGATCGATATGCGGAACCTCAAGCACCAACGACTGCCGCTCACGATGGATACAGCAGAGACACCGACCGCCGAGACAGAGATCGGGATCGAGACCGCGACCGGGAAAGGGATAGGGACAGGGACCGAGACCGCTACGACCGCAGCCGTGGAGACCAAGGTCGAAGCTCATACTCTCGACGTGATGATGGTCGACCCGTGTCAGAACAAAACCCGTCGTACAACTCGCGTTTCTCGCACTACGGAAATGGTGTAGGTGGTGGCGCTGTTGGACGAGGATCGTTCGGAGGAGGACGAGGTGGGGATTTCTCCTTCTCTCGCGGCAGCGGGCGTATGTACGGCGGCGGTGACAATATGAACGTGAACATGAACATGATGCGCGGAGGAGGAGGCGGACCTCGACGGGGCGGAGGTCCTACCTTCTTCGGCGGCGGCGGCGGCGGCGGCGGTGGTGGATATAGGAGAGGATACTAGTAGTAATCCACTTCTGTTGACCACTGCCAGCGTGTCTTGCTGCGTCTTGCTGCAAGCTCGCTTCGCCTAGGTACTTTGTATCAACCTGGTGTCAAATGCCGTGCCTTCTGTCGAAGTCGAATCATGTCCATGCCTGAGCCATCGTCGCGATATCAGCCAGTGCTTCCCTTACCGGGCCGTTCAAGTTGGACTCGGAGCGAATCCCATCAGCAGCCCCTACTAGCCCACGGCAGTGCCAGAAACAAATTCCATGTCCGTGCTTGTCTTCATACTGGTACACTATGATTACAATTCGCACATCAAAAAAAGAAGTCTGTGTATCACTCATAACAATCCACATCGGCGCATTGCGTCCATTCCGTCGCCCTGAACGCCTGCCAACTTGAACTCCATCCCAACCGCAGGTCATGCAGTGTGCGCACTGCACACCTCTATCATGAGTGTCATCCAAGACCCGAGGTAGCCTTCAAGTTTGGCCCCATGCCCAGCGCATTTTGCTTACCCCAGTCCAACGACGCGGACACCTGTGCCGATTTGACGCCCTAGCGCCATGCCGAATATCACTCTGCATCAGGCTCATTATGAGCCGCCTGTGATCTGCGTGACTCCGGGATCTCAGATGTCTTTCTCGTACTAATTCAATCACTCTTCAACATGCTATCGACCAAATCACCCAGAGGGCCCCAGTAGTCCTTGCCACCGCCCTTCTCCAAGCCATGCTCGTCGATGAACAAGACATAATGTTTGAAACTGGTGTTCAGATGCGGTTCGAGGCCCAAGTGCACAATGACTTGGTAATGGTGGCAATAGATGTGGGCGTAGACACGGTACAGGCGTTTGAACAGTTGGCGGACGGTGGAAGGAAAGTGTTTGGGGAAAGGGACGCCGATGCGCGAGGGGAAAGTGGCCTCGTTGTCGATATTGGATTGGACCCAAGTCATTAGGTGTTCGATGTACTCGGGGGCCGGCATCTTGGTGGGTTTGGGGTATCCGGTTGCTGCGTCTTGCCATAGGTATTCGAACCTAAACATACAGAAAAGTAATCGTTAGAACAGCCTAAGAAAGTAGGCGGTAGGTGTCCTAGAAAGGGTATGGGGCAGCGTCGCACTCATCGGTAGCTTTCATCTCTGGACATGACTGCGGCGAGCAGAACTCTGTGATGGAGCCGTAAAGTAAATTGATCTGGTTGTAGAAGTCGACCACTGCGTTTTCAACAGTCAGCCTTTTCTTTTCTCTTGGATATGTACCCGTGTTTTCGACTCTGTCGGTGTGTGTTATATTTACCATTGACTGCGAGCCACTCATTCAGATCCTCGCCCTCGGGCAATTTGACCGCTTTTCTCAGACTCCCGCTTCCGAGTGTCGCCTCGGCGAACTGTCGTAGCTGATAGCTCGTGGTGCCTTTGTTTGCGCGCTGTGGTTTGAACTGGCCCCGCGTGCGGGCATTGCTAGAAGGCGGACACTGATTAATACAATTGGTGGCAGAGGGAGGGGAGCAACTCAATCCGAGACGGAGGAGTTGTGCGGCGCGAGAGGGGCTGCCATTGACGGCTGACGAAGTGAGATGGGTAGTAGGGTTATGGTCATTGCCATTATCATTGCCATTGTTGTCATGGAAGGTGTACGAGTTGATCGTAATGCACGAAGAGGATTGTTTCAGTGTCAAATGGGGAGAGAGAGGCTGTGGACAGGCAGAGGGATTGAGAAATTCGTACATCGTTGTGAGTAGAGACGCCATTGGGGAGGAGGGATCGGTCGTCTCTCAAGACTCAAGAGAGGTTGTTGGAGGCGATTTGAATCGAGATCTGTTGTAGTTCCTCGTTCTGCTGCGAATTCCAATTGATGGTCAGTGTGCCACACGTTTCTAAGGGGGATATTGCCCGTTTCTATGGCCACGGGGCAGCCTCACTCACCCGCAGACACGGGCTACCGAAACAGTGTGAGATCGAAGTCGTCGAAATAAGGCCGTAAGCAGCGGATGGTGGATGCAAGCTTGTAAGTGACGAATTCAGAAAGCGTTGGTTAGTGCTGAGTAGAACGAGATCTTGCAGTGTTGTTGCATGTGCATCCCTCGTCGACCGAAGTGTCTGTGGGGGATTCTGTGGTTCTCGTCTTGCGCAGGCGCGCGGAGGAAATCGTGACTTTCAAGTTTAGTGCTACGAACAGCGCAGGGGTTGAAACCTGAGCCTCTGAGTGGCCTGTCAGCATTAACGAAGGTCAAGCTAGTCCTATTCGGGGAAAGTATAATACTTTAACTGATCATGGCGCGTTGCCCGGCAACCAGATGCACTAATCGATTCTTGGATTGGCCAAACGAATGCCTCCTCAGCCTCGTCCGAAAACTGACTGCAAGTTACATTGTAGTAGAACACTATGAGCTTGATTACTGTTCCTCGTTTCTGTACCTATGTCTGCGGTATTGGTAGCCGCTCGATTTTACAAACACTAAAAAGGGTATTCGGTGTGCCACATACACATGGAAACAATTGTTTGGTGTATGCATGCAGCTGCACCAGCCTGGAAGATGTACTGAAACTCATAAACGAGCTTTGGCCGGGCCGTTTGCGAGAAATGCATACAACGCATACATTTTTGTCTGCACAACCGTTGCAGTTTGAAACGTTGTCGGCCAACACTCACAACCTCGCCGAGGTGGTCAAGTCGTTGACAAGCTCTCGTACTTCATTCTCAAGCTCCACGGTCTCTTGGTGAGGGTCGTACATTTTCCCCTTAATCCACTCTTCCAGAGCCTCATCACTCATCTCTCGGAGATGGTGAATTCTGTCGACATTATCTCTCTGAGCGGCGCGGATGACATACAACGCCACGCGGGCGCTCACATCTCGGATGCGGGTAATTGATGGATACAGAAGAGCGAGCTCCTTCTCTTCCTCTGTAATCATGGTCGGCAGGGCTTCCCCTGAGGCGTAGACCATGTTGGGAGTCACTTGGACTGCCTTGGAAAGAATCGTGCCCAGTCCAATACCCGGGAAGACGTACATGTTGTTCCCTTGGCCAGGGTGGTAGATCTTCCCTTTATAGGGGACGGGTTGGAATGGTGATCCCGATGCAAACAGAGCCCGTCCATCAGTGTGAGTGATTGCGTCCTCAAAGGTGCATTCAGACTTGGAGGACGGGTTGGAAAGCGGGAAAATGATGGGTCTATTGTTCCATTTGCCCATCTTCTGCAGGATTTCAGGGGTGAAAGCTCCTCCGATGGTGCTCAAACCCATGAGGATGGTGGGCTTGACATATTCAATAACCTCATCCAGAGTCTTGAATTGCTGTCCATTGTTGTCGGTACGTGAGAAGTAGATTTTGTGGTCGGCAAGCTTGTCACCTCGGTCTTGAGTGACAAGTCCTTTGCTGTCCACGAGCCAGAAGCACGATTTCGCCTCTTCTTCCGTTAGGCCTTCGTGCATGAAATACTCCACGATTTGTTTGGCCACGCCCACACCAGCGGACCCTGAGCCCAGGAAGACGGCACGATGGTCCTTAGGAGCCACCCCGGACTGTTTGACGGCACCAATAACGCCTCCCATGATGACGGCTCCGGTGCCTTGGATATCGTCGTTGAACATGGCGTAGTCTTGACGATATCGTTCAAGAGAGGGAAAGGGATTCTTCCAATCCTCAAACTGGATGACAATGTCCGGCCACCGCTCCTTCAATGCCGCCATGAGCTCATCGAGGAACTCCTTCTCCTCCTCTGGCGTCACCTTGTCCCGGCGACTACCCATATAAAGAGGGTCTTCCCGGAGTTCCTTGTTGCTCGTACCCAAGTCGACGGTCAGGGGGAGGGTGACCTCCGGGCGAATGCCAGCACAGCCCGTGTACAGAGCAAGCTTGCCGATTGGAATACCCATGCCACCTACGCCGAGGTCTCCCAAGCCCAGGATGCGGGAGCCGTCTGTCACCACTGTGATCTCCACATTGGGTTGGGGCCAGTTCTGGATGATGCTGGAGAGATGACCACGGTCGTCGAAACTCAAGTACATGCCTTCGGGCTGTTGGTAGATCTCCGACCATCTTTGGCATGCTTCGCCCACGGTCGGGGTGTAGACCAACGGAGTCAGCTCCGTGAAGTGATCTGTCAACAATCTGTAGAACAGGTGGACATTATTGTATCTTAACGTGCTCAAGTACAAGAACTTTTCAATGGGGGTAGTCTTCAAAGCCAGCTGAGCCAGACATCTCATCTTTTGCACCTCATAACTCTCGGCACGAGGAGGAGTCAGACCGTACGTCTGGAGGTATTTGCGGACTGGGATCGAGAGGGAGGTGTCGTAGTGTGCTGCACGATTGGGAACGTGAGCGGTCGCATGACTGTGCTTTAATCGGTGGTTGTGAGGAGCATGCGCATTCAAGTTCTGCGTTGCTGAGGAGGCGGCGCCCAGGTTGCCGACGCGATGGACAAGAGGCTCGCGGTTGGCGGTAGAGGCAGTCATGTTTGCGGATTGAACAACTTGAACAATGCGGGTGAACCACTGTCCTGGGCGTCTGGTGAGTTTGTAGAGCATTCGGAAGGAGAGGGGACGTCGCTTGGATTTATCATGCGTTCGGTTGGTTCTGCTAGCACACGGATCAAGCACCTCGATATGGGGATCTAGCCTGGTACTGCACTTGGCGGACTGGTGGGCGTTCTTTGGTAGCGAACGAGAAACGGTCAATTCTATACCAAAGCAGGCACGCGCAGTAAGAGTCACACTATGGGTAAAACCGGGTGTGAACTACAGAAACGAGGAGTGCATCAGGGCAATACAAGGGTTGAGAAGCCACACAGACGCCTTTCACCGACAACGGAGTGGAGACTTTACGGAGTTTACAACGTAGACAATACGACAAGGGAACGGACTGTCCAGCGACACAGACCCAGTTGACAGAATAAGCGACCAGCGAGCGCATCCGCAGTCAGCAGTGGACGTTGTTGTATTGTTGGAAAGGGCAGTGCTGTTGGACTCAGATGTTGTTGGATTGTCCATTGACTCACCCAACTTTTTTCTTTTTCGTGAGAAACGTCCGCTTTAGGAGATGATGGTCGGAGCTGAGCCCTCAACCAATGGCCTGCAGCAGTTTTCGGAGCTGATGCATGCAATAATGGGAGTTGAGCTACACTGCAGGGCTGCTCGTCGTTGCGGAGGCCGAACTGTAGCTAAACAGCAGGAGCCAGCCGCCGCTAAGAGGGCTTAGGAAGGCCTAAACACGGCTAAATGTACAAGCGAGGCGGAGACCTGCAAGGGGTCCCCTAAGCTTGCGCTGCGCAGCGGGGAGGCCTTGTTAAGCTGAGGAGGGCTTCAAGTTCTGGCCGCTGGTGGTTCTATAAGTGGCACCAGGGCGTTTTCGGAGAGCCAATGTTAGACTCGTGTTATAGCCGTAATCGGCTCCTGATAGGTCTCCATTTCCCGCTCCAACTTGAAGTTTAAGTTGGGCACCGCTATTATTGTTTCCGCCGGTCGTACGGGCGCAGGCGGCTACTACGGATTGCCAGTCCGATGGGATATGAGTCAGCCCTCTTCGGGACGCTCAAGTTGGGGAAACAGGAAACAGCCCCCGGCTCTGGGCGATCGGAGAATGCCAGCATCAAGGTACTGTGCGTGGGGAACCACGGGAGGAGAGACCGCAGACTTGTGATTGCAGCTTCGATAGTTGATACAGACCTTACCTTACAATTCTGTGGAGTGAAGGGGGCTCTTCGCCTGTCACCACGAGGCAAATCTAGACGGACTACGAGTATTACTATGCCATCCCTATCGCCCCAAAAAAGACTGGGCCTTGAGAAGATGCCTCAAAGCATCGCCTGGACCTGCCGGCCGGCCGACGGGATTAGGCTTGGTGACAAAAAGATTGGCGGGTTATGACCCCCATACCATTCTATAAACCGCCAATCTTTTTGTCACCAAGCCTAAGGACTCTAATGGTCCCTCTCCCGCTACTAGTAGTCTATGTAAATCAGCTTGCGTAACACAACCCAGCGGCTGCTCATAGCGAAACCGTCATTAAGATGCTAGGGACCTAATTGAAATGAGGTTAGAGGAAACGAGATCAAGCTGTATACCTGTAATAAATGGCCGTGACTCCATGTCCGGGACACTAGGGGTTTGGCGATTGGCCGCTGAGGTGAGGCACCCGGTTTGTTGTCGTTGGGAGTCAGATTTCGGTCGTACATCGTATACAACCCCACAAACGGCCGGTTCGCTTCCCCAGAGTCAAAAGTACCCTGACGAGCTAATTAATAAAGTAGTCCGCACCTTGGGTATTCACGTGCTGCCTTGCTTACCTTATATAAGACCCCATTAGCATCCAGTATGTTGAGTATCACGACGTGAGCGTTGGAGACGACGCCTCAAGAATGTCATCGATTGCATCTTCAACTCGATCACCAAGCTCTGCTTTGATGCCGAGCTTGGGTTTGGCAGCGGCGGTGTATGCGAAGGGCATTGTCCCTTTCTGACCAGAGTGCCTAATTGAACGCCTGGACCCAAGTCATCGTCCACCTTTACATGTAAATAGATGCCTCGAAACTGACAGAAAAGGGATGCGTGCGCATGTTCATCTTCACATGCAGTGGAGTCAAGAAATGCTGTGCCATGTTTCACTGGCTCGACTGATTACGTAGCTTGACTGCGCGGAAACGGTCTCCCGCGTCCCATCATCTGCAGCCTTGGCAGTCATTATGACGTTTCGAGGCTCTGAAGCTGGGAAGTTGGCTCGACACTGGCACTGCACGGCACTGCAGCTGTAATGCTGTTTGCTCTTTGCTCTTTAACCTTTCTCTGCCTTTTCTAGCTGCTACCAGGTAGCATTGCTATGGGAGTTTGTGGTCTTCGACTACAATCGACAGCCACCTAGTGTACTTGTCTGGCCGCGTCCCTCCCGTCAACCCGTTCACTATGTCGTTTCTCTCGTCATGCTGTGGCTTCGGCCGCAAGCGAGGTGGTGAGGACACAGCTCCTCTGCTCCCTCGCTATGAAGATGACACAGCACGTGAAAGAGCCATCCACCAAAAGCTGCATACTTACCAGATGCTAAGGGCCCTGTCCAAGGGATACATGCCATCTAACGAGCAGACTATCATCAACCTCCGTACCCTGCTTGCCTCGGACGTCCTTAACCCGAACAATAAAGACTTGAGTGAATCTGGTCGCCTCTTGATTCGAAACTGTCGAAACTGGTTGAAGCTGTTCATAGAGCTATTGCAACATAAAAACAGCCAAGATCAGATTCAGGATTTCGTCTGGAATCTCACCAAGTCACGAATTTCCCTGGACGTCAACGACATCGCTTACACGGCCTCCAAAGCCAAGTCCAGAGCTGAAGCCCAGGCTGCCTATCAAAGTTTCCGTACGGTCGGGAGTCTCCTCCTCGCAAACTCCGATTTCCGACTCTTTGTGAACGATGTCGCTACCATTGGCCGACAGGTGCTGGCAGATACTGCCTTCTCCCTGTCGGAAGCGGCTGAAGAGACGGGCAAACAACTCGAGCCTTCCGAACAAGAACAAAGTGCCGTGTCCAAACCTGGTGCAGATGAAGGAACGCTGCCCTCCAAGGATGAGCTCGAACAAAATGCGGAAGAGACCACAAAAGTCATTGCTTCACAAGCTGCAAAGGTCGGACAGGATACCATTGAAAGTGCAAAGGACAAGTTTTCCGGGCCCCAGCGCGAGACCTTGCTTCATCGGATCAAGCAAGCAGTCCTGCACTTGAGAAAGCGCACAGACTACAATGACTCTGTCTCCACGCTGTCAAAGTTGATTCAGCGGTATGCCGTGGCATACTCCCGCGTTGCTGACGCAGCTATCTCAACCGCTCAAGATGATATTGACACCAATCCAGCTTTGGACCGGGCTGTCCGCAATTTCTGGGAGTTTGTGAGCAGCTTCGGTGATCAGGAAGCGTGGAAGCAATTAGAAGAGGACTTCAAGAAGGTCATGAGCCATGCCCAATCCGACCCACAGTTCGAGAACTTTATGGTCGACGTCGGCAACACGGTGCAGCGCATGCTCACTGACCCAGAGTTTTTCGACAACGCCGACAAAAAGCTCGAAGAACTAAAGGAAAAGTCTTCCAAACTGGGCAATGACACTGACTTCCGCACCGACTTCGACAAATTCCTTCATCAAGCTCAGGTCACTGTCAATGCCGTGATGGAAGACAAGGACATCAATGGCTTGATGATTGCGACTCGGCGTATTTATGATATTATTTCCCCGCCCAACAAGGTCACCAACCCGGATCTCATTACGGATGCTATCCATATCTTCCTTCCATTGTTGATCCGTAGTGTACAATATATCCCAATCCCTCGGGTGGAAGTTTCTGTTCCGGAGATGGATCTTCTCCTCGAGAACCTTATCCTGGAGCCTGGGCGCAATGTCAACTCGACTTCATTCCTGCCATACCGACTTGCTGTCTCCACCAAGAACGACCTGGAAATCCGAAAAGCCCATTCCAAGAAGGTCGTCTCGAAAGCCCAGTCTCTTGTGTCTATCACCATCAACGGTCTCAGTGTCGCCGCACAAGACCTTGGGTTCTGGATTCGCGGACACGCCGGTCTGATGCACTTTGCGGACGAAGGCATTGCAAGTTTCTATCTGGACGAGCGTGGCATTGACATCACCCTTGATCTGGAGATTGGGCGGGAGAAGCTTGAACAGATCCTCACTCTTCGCGGGGTAAAGGTGCACATCCACAAACTCGACTACAAATTGCGCAAGTCCAAACTCTCTTGGCTCGGCTGGCTATTCAAGCCTTTCTTGAAGCATTTGGTCCGCCGTTCTTTGGAGAAAGCCATTGCTGAGAACATTGTCAACGCCCTTCGCGCAGCTAACCGTGAGCTTGTGTTTGCTCGAGAACGACTGCGAGCAACACGCATTGCTGATCCTCAGGATGTACTTACCTTCATCAGGGCCGTCATGGCACGTTTAACGCCTGAAGAAGACCCTGATGTGTACACTCGAGTGGGTGTTGATGCACCTAAGAAGGGTGTCTTCAAGGGGGTCTACACTCCTGGCAGTGTGGTCAAGCTTTGGCACGAGGAGGCAATGAGGGCGGAAGAGGTTGTCCAAGATGGAGAAGAGAGAGGCGGTGGTTGGAGAAACGACATCTTCGATGTGCCGGTGTACGGAACGACATAAGGAGAAAAACATGGGATGTGGTCGAGGTACAATGGGTCTTGGTGTTGTACGTCGGGGCTCGTGGTGACAATATTGACACATGACGGCTCAGAGCGACAATTGAGGGATGGGAGCCTGTTACTGTTAGTATTTTTTCAATGCGCGGTGCAAAAGCAACTTCGGGTCAATTCAATTCAGTGTGCTTGTGTACCACCTCATGTAATTTGTTTAGGTAGCTTGCTTGATAGCGTGATGAAGCTTAATGCCGAGAATGAAAGCGTTTCTCCAGAAAGGCTGTTCCTCTATTGCTCACATGTAGTGACTTGGAGGCTGTAATCAAAGTGTTCGTCTATGTATAACCTCTGAACATCCACCGCAAGCTAGATTATGGCCAATAAACGGCAAAAGCTTGAAAAGACAAGACCACAAGGCTGAACAGGAACTAGGAGAGATCCACCATAACCCAGTGGGTCCACAGTAAGGTAGGTAGTAGGGAATCAGCAGTCTGGTCTACTAGTCCAGCTTGCATTATTCCCTTGAGCTTGCTTTTTCTTCCGAATATCAAGACCTATCTGATTGATAATGATACCGTACTCACTTCGTGTTTCAGCCAAGGCACCTTGAACCACGTGGTCGAAAGTCAGAGAGCCAAACAGGCAGCGGGTTTAAGGCAGGATCTCAGTGACGCCTCAACCGAGATTTGCAGTGCGATGAGACATGAAAGAGCTCAGAGCACTGAGAGCAGTGGTTTAAGTGCACTGTCTGCTCACTATCTTCTTGGTGCAGTTCGATTCCAAGACAGGTGAGTAGACAATACTACACTGAGACAGATCTCGGCCAGACAAGGTGGAAACAGTGATTATGATCACTTCTACTAGTCTTCTAGCGGTGATAATGGCAGCGGGCCAGACTAGACGTGAATCATCAGTGTGTTTGGCACTGTCTGTGGGACTGCGTACCCAAATTCCAGAACAATGTCGGCAATGGCATTCAGAATGAATCTGAAAGAGAGAAAGACGACAAAGCGAAGAGATGAGATGAGACGAGACATTGTGATCGAGACCGCTGCTTCTTGACGTTCGCAGGCCAGGCGACATGAATCGACATCATTCGAGGCAATAGGCACCTCAGCCAGCGAGTCAGATACAGAGACACAAACGGATTCACAACTACTGCGTGCCTACCTGCCTTTCGGGTCTGTCTATCGGTCCATCTATTCTATTTACATATATATACCCCCATCGCGAACACCCCGTCGTCGAGAGAAGGAACACAAACAACAACAACAACAACAACTCTCAGTCCGAGCATAACTCCTTCCAAATTCCTCGCGGCTTGAATTGTCAAAATCACCCCTTTTGAACAAGATTGATTGAACATATTCTCCAAGAGCTCAGCCGGCCTGAGCGTACGGTCTTGATCCCGTCCCTTTGTGTCGCTGGTCGACTCTAGCGGAGAGCCTTGAGTAATAAATCGTCGGCGAGTCAGTCAGCCAGTCAATAACCTGGGGAAAATTAAGTTTCACTGCTCAACATGCTTTCGAGATTCATGGGGATGAATAAAAGCTGCTCGTCGAGACCAGGACCGACAATGGAGCAATTGAACGACATAAGCGGCACCGATACCGATACTCTCTCACTCAGCAGCGCCAGCGACTTATCTCCGGAGTGCCCAGAGACGAACAATGACATGAACCAAAACCATGGCGATGACAGCAACAGCGACGACAGCAGCTCTGCTGAGTATCATGATTTCAGTGAATCTGGCACCAGCACTGGCAGCACACCCTCATCTCCATCCTCATTAATCGGCGAATACGGCTCCGACATGAGCGACAGCGAAGAAATCGGCAACAACGGCAACGATTGCATCTACTCACAGATGCTCCATGACCTCGCCAACCTCAGTGAAATGTGTACCGCATCAGAATCATATGCTCAACACGTCGAGCGCAAACTCGAGATTGCCATCGACCAACTCGCAGACCAAGAGCAAGAAATCGAGTCCTTGACCACAGGAGTTGAGAATGCAAAGACCGCCACAGAAACCCTCCAGACCGAACTTGAAAAGGGGAAGAAGAAGGCAGCGAATCTCAAGACCGAAAACATCAGTCTCAAGAAGCAACTCGAGCAATCTGGCGTTAGTAGTTTGAAAAAGAAGTTGAATGATGCGAATCGTGAGCGAGATGCGGCTAGAGAAGAAGTGAATAGGTTGAAACAGGAAATGGAGACGATATCCGACACCAACACGAAAACGAATGACCTCAACGTGGAGCAGCTCATTTCTAGGCTCAACAAAAAATTGGGAAATCTGAGTTTGGATGGCACCGAGACAGACGCTGAGGCAGAGTCAGAGTCAGATGCAGTATCGGTCAGCAGCAGCGCCACTACCAGTGTCAGCACCTCTGGTTTCGTCACAGGACATGAACAACAACAACTCGTCACCATCGTCATCGCTCTGTTGATGGTCCTCAAGACGAATCTATCTGATTTGAACCGACGGGTCGGCGAATCGCGCGCTGATCATGTCAATGACGCATTCACCATGTTACTCGCCCTCGAGAATCGGGTCAAAGAGACGACTGGTCGGTTGATCAGGGAGATTGAAGCATGTCTGTTGAGCATGACGAAGAGAAGCTAGAATAAACGGAACAGCGGAAGGACAAACATAACAATGGAAGCTGTATCAGCAGCATCAGCAACGGCGACAACAGCAGCGACAGCAGCATCACAACTGCGGCAACCAGGAGACCATCTATCTCCAGGTTCGACAATGATAAGCACAGAGGCTCAGCGAGGCGATGGGGGTCCCCAGGGCTGACGGGGAGAGAAAGGGAGAGGAAGGAAAAAAGAGCACGCACGTTCTTTTTCGGGTATATTTCCACTCGTTTGCAAAGTATAAGGAAGAGAGGGGAGAAGAGGGTAATTACCAATGACACTGACCGAGTCTTTCGCTATTCATCAAACGACATCGTCGAGGATAGGGCTGGAAAATTGGGAAACTGGGGACGACAGCAGACAGAAACACAGGGCGAAAGAGGCTGGGCTAGGGAGAAGGTAGAATGAGGGGCCTTTTTCCAACAACAGACAGAGCAAGGCTGATTTGACGGGAACAGAATGGAAATGAATTAAGAATAGACAAGGGTGAGAAAGGGGGAGACAGAGATACGATGGGACGGGTGCAAAGGTATAATAATGTGACGGCAACTTTGCCGAAAAGGGGGGCACAAGGCTGAGGCTGGGGTTATACGGGTATACGACGGGTACTAGGTAGATAGAAGGATAGGATGATCTGCAGAACTGAACACCCAACATTTTTCAACCACTCCACATTCTCTCAGAGAGGGAACCATATCGTTTCGTCTTTCCAAGCTTACACACATGCTCATACCCTCTTCTGTTCTGTCTTCCGTCCCAATATCAGCCGATTGACACTGGGCGTCCTCGGATACGTACATGCACCTGTGAGGAGCTGATTCTGACATCTAGCAATAATGATACAGCGTGATGAACCGGAAATAGTGGGCGAAAGGTATAACTTCAAGGGGCAAGGGACAAAAGAAAGAAAACGAAGAAACAGGGACAGGCACAGATCTGCCCCGTCCCGAAATGTGTGATGTGACAGTTTCGAATTTTGATTCTTCTTCTCAGTCTTCAGGCAATGATGGCCACATCATTGCGCTGCAGTGCTCTGCACTCTAACCGCCCTGGGAACATTGATTCGATCCTACCCGACTTGGCCGGGCCCGATCTGATCTGCTCTGATAAGCCGGCAAATCCATCGTCAAACCTCCTCCCCTCAAGCGTCAACGCCAAAGAACTCCAGCGCCAGGCTGATGCTGAACGTGAATCGTTGTGTACAAAACTCGTTGGCTTGCTATGCTGGAAAATGCGTGAATTGTTTTCAGTGGAAAAACCTCTCTGCCATCTCATATGCAGTTCCACAGGCGGCGCGCTGTCCTCTGTTCAGCTCAGATCTGGTCGACTCAGCTCGTGTCCGCTCTTATGTTCGGTGCTATGTTTGCTCTTCTTTCTAGCAATTGAATAACTCGGACATCTCTGCGACATACCCATGGGCAATGTCTTCTCATAGCTGAGGTGGATTGAAAGCCTCTGTTTTGCTGGGCTCAACACTTCAAAAAGTGCGAAAGTAGAATTCGAATCTGGAATTCAACCTTTCTCCGTCTCATCCCGCAGATTCTTGCTTGGGCCCTCTGGGAAACGACCCTTTGACTCTTGACCAGGCGCTACCGAGAGAGTCCTTGAACTTCTCCCAGGCGGATCGATTCAATTTATTGCTGAGCTCCCGATACATGTACATCTCGGCCCAACAGTCTCGACCCCACTCACAGCCGGCCATGTTGACGACAAAATCGCGATCTTCTTCACGGTAATGGAAGCGTGGGTCAAGCAGGGGCTTTCCTTCTTCGACCTGCTGCCCTTCTTTGGGTTCCACAGCACATGCCCCAGGAGGGAAGGAATTGATTTTGCGCTGTTCAATAAAGGCAAAATGTGTTCTCATGTACGGCTGAGAGGCGTACAAATGCTCCAGAGCATCTTGTTCCTTGTGCTCCCACTCCATGTGTTTCTGTTCATACAGGACCGGGTCCCACCACATGTCGAGCAGGCGGTCGGTGAAAGGTGAGCGACGTAAGAAGAAAGATCCTAGGTTGAAACCACCGCAATCCTGCGGGATGATAATGTCGATGGAAGAGGTTCGGTTATCGCCCGTCGGCGAGCGGGCCACTGGATCGAGAAACTTTGATGTCGGAGGATGGCTGATATTAAGCGGATTGTACACGTTGATGTCGCGGTAGACGGTTTTGTCGAGATGGTTGAAGATATGCGATTGGAGGGACACCGACGGTTCCATGATGAAGGTGTTCAAGTCAAGCCACCAGAACCTGCCTTGGATGTCAGTGACCGGTCAAACTTGAACAGAATAGAACGGGCGTTTGTCTACCATTCAGCATTAGGGTACCTAGCCATAGCGCTGCGCATCAGGTCGACTTTCTCCCAACTTTCTCTCCATTCATGGGCGTATCTTTTCTTGGTGCTCATATCGGTGATTTCGAGTTGATAGCCCCATCGCTCGACGTATTTCTTCTTGTTCTTGATACTGTCGCGTTCGATGGCCCATTCTCGGGGTCCCTTCCACTCCATGACGCCACCTCCTTCGTTGGCACCCAGAACAATGACAAACTTGCTTCCGCCGCCGAGATGGGAGTTGCCCCGGATACTACCCAAAACACCTGCGCGGCAGTCAGTCACCGTGATTCAGAATTGTGTTTGGCCAACCTACTCGTCGTTGACATTATCACGGTTGTCAAAGTCACAATGGACAGTATTATGAACAAGAACTTGAACTTCCGCAAGACATTGCCAACAAACGTTTTGATCCTGGACAAAGTGCCTCCACCTCTTGGATACCACCTGCTTCGACCCAACTTCTCCGGATCTTTCCAAGTCGCCGATAGGGGGGTGTAAGGACTGAAAACGGGCAGGGTGGACGAGATCTTCCGCTTGGAGCGCTGGAAGAAACCTTCATTCTTGGTCTGGATACTGGGATAGCCTCGGACTTGGGCACTTCGGGCTTTGGCTGCGGCCCACTGGTCGTCGTTGTTGCTGTAGAGGTTTGTGCCTGCGTACAAGCCATTGGGGGTTGTTGCACCGGCGCCATGTGCACTGCCAGGTGCCATCCATCCATTAGGCAGTGGTGAGGACGTCCGCGACATGACTGAATGTCAAGAGTGGGAGGTAGTTGGAGAGGGGCTTGGTGTTCGGATCGGAAAGGGAGAGTCGTCAACTGAAAGGACCATATGATCTGATCGGACACGACTCGCACAACTGTGTCACTGGATCAGATATCCATCTGAGAATCGGGATCTTAGGAGGACAGTAAACCGATCTCGTTGGTATCCTATCGCCAGGTGGTCAAGGATACAATTCAGCTGGGCGGATGGTCGAGGCGGTCATTCGACCATGGGTTAGGGGAGGAAAGGACAGGAAGACAAAACAGGACCAGGTGGGACATGCGACGGCTGCATTTAGAAGCCAGTGCTGTCGTGCATAAGAAAGAGACTGAGTTTGAAGTGACGCGAGTGTGAGGGTGTAAAGAGAGTGTGGGTTTGATGGTGCAATGTTGGAATTCCAATTCAGTTGCGGTGCTGGTGGTGTTCAAGTTGGCCGCAAATTAATTTACAGGTAAACTTGAACTGCGCTCACATCATGTCGGAGCATCACAGCGCAGCGCAGCTGCAGATACAGTCCAACTCACAATAAAATGCCTGGAGGCAATCGAGGTTTACCTTGGGCTCTTACTCGTCCTGCTACTGATCTATCATTCCATCCTGTTTACGGCATTTACGACTATATCCTTACCAACTGCTCTTATCGACTCTTCGCCCAGCCCGGTTCGTCACCCGCTGTTGGACCGGCCAGTCCAGGATGGCCGCAGGCGACACAAGCCATCTTGCAGTCGAGATCAGAACACAAACGGCCGCATAAATGTGTATCTGAATGTGAATTTCCAAATCGACTGTCCTCGATGAATCCATCTCTCCCAACTACATCTGTTTTTCTTGCTCGTCTGCCACGTCGCTCTTTGTCTCATCACCACCACGCACTGTCTACCTCGTGAGGAGACCCAAACGGCACTACGTCGATGACAAGCGCGGCTCACTTCAGCTGGGTTCTTAAAAAAGAATAAAAATGTCACCGGCGGCACGCTTGAGCCGTCTGCTCTAACTGGTTTCAAGACTGACGCCGCTATCTTCCGGGCCCGTCCGCATTTTATTGTTGCCTGCTACCGTCTGTCTCGACCACCATGTTCCGACAGAGAAGCAACTACTGCCGGTGTACCTTGTCAATGGTAATCTATCAGACTACCTACGGTTTATTCCTCGACCATGTCAGATAACAATGACTGGGGTCTTTCGAATCCCGGTTTCAATAATATGCCCGTCCCTTACACCGAGCAGTTTTTCTCCGTCGCCTCATGACAGAGTGGAAGAAAGAAAAGAACATACTCCTCCTCTTGCTACCACCACGTTAGCTAATCTTCTCTGACTCCACCACCGCAACTGCATCCGAAAGACTCCCGCTTCGTCTTACATACATCCTGCAGTTGTGTCGTCGAATCAGCTGCCACTCCACTCCTACAATAATAATAATAATGAAAAGGCACGAATGGTTTTAACTTGGAGTCTACTTTGACTGTACTATCCCTGTCCGCCAGGCGATGTGGAACCAAACTTTCCTTCCTGCCCCTGCACATCATATCCTTGAAAGAGTAAGGGCCCATCCGATCGGGTCGATACCTCAGGTACGGCTCGGAGATCAATTTGCTTTTGAATCACTGCTAGGACGACAAGCAAAAAATTCAAAATTTTTAAAAAATTGTCTACTACTGCACCTCAGGCTGTACTGTTGTACCTACCTATGCAAGCTTATCTATCAGGCCATGGCGCTGGCTTATCGCCAGCAATCAGTCAGGTAAACCTGCGCTGCATTGCAGTAGCGGCCACCAGCCAGCAGCCGCATTGGAAACCGTGGTCAATAATGGTCATCACCATCTACAGGATCGCAAAACACTCTTCTTCAGTCGGCGCAAAAGAAGATGCAGGAACACCGCTGTTCTCTCCGGTAGGTACTTTTTGGACTCGAGTTCAACTTTCTGTCAGCTGTCCCACACGAAGCTGACGGGCCTTTCTGTTCCACGATCCGTCCGTCATACTATCATGCGTGCACACTTGCATGCATGACCCGTGCCAGTGCCACTTGTGCTACTAATAACTACTGGCCGACTACTACTACAGTATTTGACCCTGGACGTATCACGCCTTGCAATACTAAATGGATGTTACGGTTACACAGACTGGGATTCATTCATCTGCAGCTTCGCTTTTCAGTCTCGGAACAATAGGCACAGTACCAGACATGCAAGGAGGCAATTAAATCGATCTTTCGATTTCAGTCTAGTGTCGATCCAATTCAATCACCATTTTGACCCTAAAGACTTGGAAAGCGTTCTCCTCTGTGGTACTGTATGCTCAACGGTGTACAGATATTCTCTTCAAGCGAGCAGCATTAGACAACCCCCAAATCGAGTAACAGGATATTCACTTGGCCTGCAAATCAAGAGGATAAGAGACGTTGCGTCTACATTGAATGACGAAAGAGCTCTAGAGATGGGCACCGGACGAGTCTGTAACCTGAAGAAAGCCCTATACGGACGGCAGTGCCCCGAAGCCCTACTAGGTCCTGGTACCTTTCCAGTCGCCTTTCCAGCCGCAGTAGTCGAGACAGATATTTGTGGGTACACACGCAGCCACGTTCTGGCTAGTATTCTTTCATTGGGCCTTCTTTCCATCTTTGATCCTATAAGGTGTACAACGCCTATGTACCAGCAGACCCGTAGCAGGGGAGAAAACCAACGTTCCCCAAACCCAATACCATACCGGCAGTGCAACACAACACACACTGACTCCAAGTCGAATCCGCGAGCACAAAATAATCAAGATTCCATACAATCATCTTGCTAGATAGTATGCACAAGCGAGGCCCTTCAAGTTTCATTCCGTACATTCATTCGTTCAGTTCAATCAATTCCAATCATTCAGCTTCCACCCGGACGGTCGGGACAGCGGCGACGCCAGCAGATACTGCTGCTGGTGATGCTGCTGATGCTGCTGCCGCGACTGTTGCCTCTGCACCGCTTTCAGTCTTGCTGATCCTCATGCTTTCGCGCTCCTTCATACGCCGATGATGATACCGCTCCTCCTGGACGACAAATGCAGGCTCCGTTTTCGGCCGCTGTCTCGCGCTATCGCCAAAAGTGATCTCGACGCGAAATTTCAGGTACTTCCCTTTCCCGTCGTCGTAAATGGTAATGATATCGCCAGTATACAACTTTCCAAACAGGGCAGCTTCGCCATTACGAGATTCCTTGCGCAACGCCCTCCCATTGATCCAAATGCATCCGCTGGCGGACGTGGACAGCACCGTTCGGATTGCCGGCAAGGTCGTCCAGTCGCCGCCTTGCTCAACGTGGGATTCCATGCCGGGCGCCCAGAATGTGATTTTCATTGCATATTTTGGAATCCGGGTATCCTTGACGTCCGGATGCTGTATTGTACAGTCGACTCCGCGGCCCCATGAAGTAAGGCGTTGCTCGAGATTGATTGTGACGTTGGTATATGAGCCCGGTAGACTGGTTAGTTTCCCGAACCGTCGTGGCGGGCGGACGAAAGGACTGATACTAGTACCGGCTCCGGAGAGACTGCGCAGTGTCCCATGGGTAAACTGGTCAGTAGTAGAATGTTCGTGCGGCACTTCATGTCCGGTTCTGGCGTCAATGGTGACTGCGAGCTCAACAGAAGGTACCCGAGCTTTGTTGCCGTTGAGAGTTCCATGAAAAGTCTCGGCTTTGGCCATTTTCGCCGCCCTGGACGCATTGCGCTTTTCAACCTCTACTTCAAATTGAGCAGGATCCGATATCAAGCCAAAGTCTATTTGACGTGTGAAGACTGGTTCTCGTTCTCGTTCTTCACTGACTCGAGTGGTGGCGGCGACTTCGGTATCAGCGTCGTTGTCGCGTGTGCTCGTCTCAGACGGTGATATTTCACGTGTCTGCGGCGTCACTGGATTACCCGTTTCGGGAGTAGCAGCATCCGACACATCGGGTTCAGGAGAAGCCATATTGAGCTGGCCGATTTGTTGTTCCGCACCAAGCAGGCTTTCGGCGGATCCTGCTGGCCCTTGTGGCACATCAAGTACTCGAGGGTAATGAAGAGGCTGCCCTGAGTTGTCTGCACTCTCTTCCTCCGGTTGTTGCACTGAAGCAAAGTCATTGACGCTGATCTGCTCCACCCGGTTGCGGATATCATAGACATCGGCACATGCAGGCGCAGCGAGTTCGCCGCCAAAGACGCCCGAGCTTCGCAGCACAGACTGGGATATTTCCCCAAAAAGCCGCTGAGCGGGTGCGCCAGTTGGTAATGGAAGGAAACTCTCGCCAGATTCTGGTAGAGTCGGGTAGTGCACGTCTCCTGACGACGGTGCCGGTTCTATATTTTCTACTTCGGTTCTTGGCCTCTTTGTGGGACGATCAGGAGTCGGGTTTGATGAAGGCGGTTGAGTCAGTTGATTTAGGTTGTGGATCAACTCTTCATCGTCGAGGACGTCTTCATCGGCCTCATCGACCATATCAAGGTGGCGAGCTACGGGAGAGCTGACTGGTTCAACATCGTCGTAGTTGCAATTATCCGGTACGTCGCGCAGCCATGGGTGTCTCAGACACTCGGCTTCTTTAGGTCGCAAGGCGGGATTCCTGTTCAGAAGGCCGGAAATAAAGTCAATGGCCTCCTCCGAGACACCGATATATCTCAGTGGTTCAAAGTCGACGTCCTTTGTCATGATGTTGTTCAACATTTGGGCACCACGGTCATCTCCTCTACCAGTAATAGGAGGCTTTCCGCAGAGCATGTGAAATATGACCGCGCCGAACGACCACATGTCTACCGACTGGTCGTACGGCGATGGCTTTGGTCTCGTCATAGGCTCGCCTAGGCGGCGACGCTTCGTTGTCGACCCTTGCGCATAAGTGGGATAATCAGGATATACTTCTGGGGCGCAGTACAGTAGTGTCCCGCAGAATGTCTTGAGGAACGTCTCCTGGTCCGTGACGCACTTTGAAAGCCCGAAATCCGACAGCTTGACAATCAGAGGCGACCGCGACGCAATTAAAATATTGTCCGGTTTGATATCTCGATGCGTGATGTTGCGCCGATGTAAATAATCCAAGGCATGCAATATTTGTTTGGTAATCTGTTGAGCATCAGACTCGGGGATTTTTCCAAGTCTGCGTAGTTCCTGTGACAGCTCCCCGTGCGGGACAAATTCCATAAGAATGTATATCCAGTGAGAATATGTCTGGCAATCCACGTAGTTGACGATATTCGGGTGCTTGAGATGCTTCATAATGTTCAATTCGCTGTCGAACTTCATGTCCAGCACTCCGTTCTTGATGAATCGACGTTTATCGAGCTCTTTGGCAGCATACAGGTCTCCTTCTTTCTTCGTCTGCACCCGGTAGACCGTCGCGAATGCTCCCTTGCCTAGCATGCCCGTAAAATTGTATAGGCTGCCTCCGTTCCAATGGTTTCCATACGAGCTTTCTCGCATGGAGGAAAATTGAGCAATCTCCCCTCGAGCTGCCAGATACTTTTTCAGGTTCTGGTCATAGGCTTCCTCCATGTCTCCACGGGCAGGTATCCTGACCATCAGTTTGACTTCTTGTCTTTCCCAGCCACTGACGACTGCAATAATGGATCCATGCCTAAGGACTATCGTAGCAGGCTTGAGCGTCGTCTGGCCACGCCGATTCCTGTGGCAAATGTGAGTATCATCCACGATGGTGCCGTTGGTGGACATGTCCTGAAGCATTAGGCTCCCCTGCCTGTTGACGAAGATCCTGAAATGTACTTTGCTCACCAAACTGTCGTTTTCATAAGGCGTGAGAAGCACATCGCTCAGGGCGCTAGTCCGCCCAAACCGAAATCCATCTTTGGGGTTCTTCACTGGAGAGGATATTCGAAGCGCGATATCACGCGGTTGCTCGAAATCTTCAGTCATCAATACGGCTTCCTCACTCAATCCTTCGAGGCCTTCATTCTGGAGGATGTGTGTTCGGGCGAAAAGGAGGTTGGCTTTGATCGCTTTGAAAGCGGCTGGAGAGGTGGGATGAAGTAGGCAAATTACATCTGCCGCGTCGGCTTCGGAGACATTGGAAAGGTTCTTGAACCGACGTGGATTGTCGACCGGCTGTGTCGCCGGTTGAGTGGGCTGCGACGATTCGTCCATGATCACGGTCTCGACGGTTTCCCAAGACTCATTGGCATTGATATATAGCGATCTGGCGAGATCTTCTTCAACAAGTACACTTCGCTGGGCCACTGTCAACAATGCTTCATCCGAACCAGCCAGAAGATTTACTGACCGGAACGAATGGTGCCAAATCACCCAGCCGACTGTCGTAGTAGCCCTCAGGGGTCAATGCAGTCTTTCCTGAGTCACTCGATTGTAGACATCCATTGCCCAAACCACAATCGGCGTCTTCATCACGGTCAGCGAGATCCATTTTAATTAAACAGCTCAATGCAAGGTACAGGAAGGTATTGTCCATGCAAGGCTCGTATGTCGAAGGTTGGTATATGCTGCCCACGGCTAGACAGGCTGCTCCGGCACGGCATTACGCTCATATGACCTGGAGAGTACGTACCTTGTGACCGTATACAGCCTTATGTGGAAGGAACAGATTTGTTCTGTATACCGTGAGTCAGCCTTACGACCAAACTTCCTTGGACACATAGCAACAGTCATGACACGTATGCCACGGGATTGCATCTCAATTCTGGGGTGTCTGAACCATATGGGCGCCCATGAGGACAATCCAGTCTCTTGACATTGTCATATGACGGCGCGCACCAACACAACTGCAAGATATTCCCACAAATATTCACAAGGCCTGCACAAACACATTTACTTGGGTGAAACGATGAGAGGAGCGTACCGTAGAAACAGAGCGTCGTCAAGGATACGGAAATAGATTTGCCTGCTAGCCAGCCGTCAGCGATTGATACCTCCAAATTGCAGGCGTCCACGAGGCTGTACGTACCAGATTGGCGGTGGCTGCGGGTAGCGGAACCAGGCACTGCAGCAGACGATATTCTTCACCAGGAAAAATGTCAATACAGCCACCAAACAACAGAAACCAAAGCTGAGCAAAAGAAAAAGGCTGCGACAAGGAACGTGAAGAGTCGACGAGGTCGAGGGCGAAGTCGAGATTAACCGCGGCCGGCGATGGCTTTCATTCCCCCGCCAACAACGAACCCTTGAATGCAGCCAGAAGCCAAACAAATCTTCAGGCTCAGGATCCCTGGGTCGCACCCACAGTAGGCACAACTCGGCAATTTAGCGACGCCTGGAGGCTGTCAAAATGCCACCCGGGCGTGTCTGTTAGGCTGAACTTCTGCCGGCCGATCGGGGCGTGGCGGCCGCCTGCAGGCACAGCCTTCCGCGTCCCGCGCTACATTTACTAGCCTCTAATACCACCCTGACCCGTTTATCACTTCCACTGGGGCTGCCGGCGCCGCTGCGACCGCACAATACGATGATCCTTACAATGTACCTTAGATAGGCGAGCATCACTCCTCAAGCGAATCAAACGCATTCATCGGATGCAACCACGTCCCCGGCTAAATGCGAGCGGAGGACACTCACCCTCCCTGGGGAGATTCGTAGGATGCAACAAGGCCAGCGGGGCAGCGCAGGAGTCAGTAGAAACTGGCTGTTGCGTGCTGAACAGTTGTGTTCTATACATTGTATAATCACTCTCTTGCTCAATTGCCACTCAAAAGAACAGCATGTAAGCCTTAATCGTCCAGCTCCATGGCCTCCTTCGCGAGTTGATCCCTTCGCAAAATCTCCTCCATTCGTTGCTTTCGGTTGGTCTTGCTCGCCTCGCTTGTCGACGGAGTCTCGAGCTCATCAGCCTTTCCTGCAGTGGCCGAGGGTGTCGTTCCAATTACTTGTTCTGCACTTGATGCCAACTCGTCCTCTGTGTCTGGCACTGAGTTTGATGGCGCCTTCTTGGCTCCGTTTGTCACGCCAGTTCCGTCTCCTTCAAGGGGCTGAGTGTCCATTGCTGGAGGCAAGTCCTGTTCAGGGTGATCTACACCTTTTCCATTCTCTGCTTCAACATCTGCTTCGCCCGGTGAACGCACTGGCTTAGTAACTGCACATATAGAGGCCACGCCTTGTTGATCATTCGTCTCGGTAGGCTCTTTGGCTACTTTCCTTGGTCTGCCTCGCGGTCGCTTGGGTGGCACAGCACGAAGCGGAGCATCATGCTGGACCTTTCCAAGGTTGTCTTGAGTCTGCTCTCGACCCCGATTCGCATTATTGTTCGCTTTGCGCGGGTATAACTCAACCGCCAGATCGTCATCGCTGAATTCGACGGTTTCGGCGACTGACAATCGACTCCTTGAGTGCGGAACAGGATCGAGGTCCGCAAAAGCCTTCGGGCCGCCGGTAGGAAGACGATTGATTTCCCCTCTGTGTGGCTTCAGAACATGGTCCTTGGACGGTAACGATTGTCGTTCGTCGTCGGGCTGCCTCGCCTCCAAACTCTTAGGTTGAAAAAAAGGATCTGAGACTGTTGTATTCGTCCGTTCAAATTCATCATTACGGTCCTCCTCCGAATGACCTGCCCTCGACGTAGCAGGAGGAAGTGTAGATATCCTCCTTTTCTGAGCACTTGTTGATGAGACAATTGAAGCAGACGCTGCGTTAATGTCAAAGCGCTTGCGCTTGCCCAGTATGTTCCGCGATGGTCCATTTGGGCGTTCGTCGAGTACTGCTGGCGCAGGCCTTTCGAGCTCAACTCCCATAGCTGATGCAATACCTTCAAGCCTCGCTTTCATTCTCGCATTCTCAGCCCGCAGCTGTTCAACCTCTCCGCTGCCGGAATGAGCGTGTGTTGTCCCGGTGCCTGGCGCATGAGTGGCCTCAACAAGGCTACTTCTTGAGAGTGACTCCGTCTGCAAGATGCCACTACGGGACCTCAATTCACGTAGCGAAGCCTTCATATCCTCCATCGAGTCGCGGAAAGAGTTGACCAGCGACGTCAAGAGGTGTATCTGTGTGTCCTGTTGTTGCAATCGAGCACTCTGCGATGCCAGGCGCTCTTCATATGTCCGCAATCTCATTCCCAGAAGGCTTGACTCATCATTCGACGTGGGGACAAGCCCGTTTCGTGGCTCTGAATGTAACGAGGGATGAGGCTGTGGCTCGGATGCCGGTTGTATCTGCGACGAAATACCGATGAGGCGGGAGGGTGTCTGCGACAACCCTGGTGTAGATGCTGCTGCAACAGAAGGACGACTGGTGCGAGGCGCCATGCTAGACCTAGGCTGGGATCCATCGGCGGACGGAGTGAAGGTGGGCTCTACCTTCTTGTCTGTCCCGCCCAGTTTCAGGTATATTTTGGGCAATTTGTAGAAATATTGGCCGAGCAGGTATTCCTGCTCTGTAGTCGGGACAGCTTTACAGAACTGTCCCACAGTCGCTAAACAAGATATGCACACAACTTCCACAACCGTGCATCCCTGGACTGTCTGATGCAAGGCGCCATTTGGGACAACCTGCGTTTTCTGGCCGACCTCTGTTCCCGAATGCGTTCCCGGTTTGGCCGCAAGAACATAAGACTTGGTCAGTCGCACCCATTCGTTATGGAATAGACCAAGCTCGTTGTCGCATTGCGCACAATGTAGGCCGATCTTCAACGTCGAGGGGCTGGCCAGCTCGGGATCCAGGGTCTGCGGTTGTAACTGCGACTTTCGCCGAGTTGAAGGCGCCATTTCAGCCGCTATACATCGAAATTCGTGCCACGTTGAGGACCATTGAAGGACATTAGTTGCTAGCCCCTTCCTTGGGATCAAGATGCAGCAGGCGGGATACCAGGTGTCAACCTGGAAAGCAGTGCAATCCTCGATCACCGCACTGCAGAAAAGGAACGTGTAGTGGGGCACGCGTCTCGCAATTGACTGCAGTGTCGACGCGTCGAACAGCGAAAGTGGTTGCATTGAACGGTGCTAAACCCAAACAAGAAGTCGGCTATTGATTATATAATCAGTACTACATGGGTTGTGTTTGGTTTCACGTGGTCTTCTTTTTATATCACTCGCTCAGGGCATTCTACAACATTGTACTGACTCCAGTCGGTATAGCACTGCACTGCAAGTCTTTTGGAGACACGCTCTGAGATATGATGATTTCAATGACATATCAGCGGCATCTCTGCCAACTCAACTTATCAGACTGGATTGCGCATCCTCACCGCTAGCATCGTAGGTCCTTGCGCTTGGGAGAATCAAGTTTTGGTATACAACGGCAGAAGTAGGCATTCAATTTGATATAACAAACACGATAAGTCAAATACAAAGCATTCTTCCATTGGTCGGCCCATGCGTGCCACCTACACTTTCAAAGCATGTTTGCATCCATCGGTATGACACAGAGTGCCAACGGCAGAGCGCATGAAATTCGGCTATTGGAGTGACAATGATTGCTGCTGGAGCACGCATGGAGTAACAACAAGATTTGATCGGGACAGGCACCATAAGAAGAATCATTTATCTCGTAAGGGTGGAGAGAAGACGAAGAATGATCTTTGCTCTGCGATCCAGACGCGTAGTGAACATTGAGTGTGAGCCAATTGAGTCTATTCCAGCTCTGTCAGATTCGGATCCAGATCCCAGATCGGGACCGGAACGCGAAGAGCGCAGGGTAAAATAGAAGAAAATTCGAACATGGAGGAGTCGCAGTGGGCTGGAGCGCCGCCGCGATCACATGATCAGACTGTGACCTCACACCCCTGTCCAAATATTACTATTCCATCATCGCCTCTGCAGCTTCTGCCACCAGCGCTACTACCACCACCATCACCAACAGCAACATCCCCAGCACCAGCATCTCAACCACAGTCGGGAGCTCAGGGCTGTTGGGAACAGGCTCGCTTTATCCCCCTGCCTCCATCTCCATCTCAGGGCTCTATCTGTACGCGAAGAGACACCTGTCGTCTGCCCCTGTGTCACTCCTCCAACCTCCTCACAAAACCTCCGCAGGCGTATCTCCGCCCGTGTCGAGGGGTTTCCTCCCCCTCTTCGCCCTCAAAAGCTTCGACAGAGACTCTCAACGAGTGTTGCGCGCCTCTGCCAGCACAGAAATCACCCACCGCCACCACCATGGGGCTCTCAAAGACTCACAGAATCATTATCCTGCTGGGGATAGACAGCGCTTTTTTCCTGGTTGAACTTATTGTTGGTAAGTGGCGGCCCTGTAGAAGCGCTACAATTACAGGCAACTAACTCGTTTCAGGCTATGCTGTCCACTCCTTGGCCCTCGTGGCAGATGCCTTCCACATGTTGAACGATGTTTTGTCCCTCTGTGTCGGACTATGGGCTGTTCGTGTCGCCAATACTGGAAGCTCAAAGATGTATACCTATGGCTGGCAACGAGCTGAGACTCTGGGTGCCTTGGTCAATGGCGTGTTCTTGGTCGCCCTTTGTCTATCTATCTTTCTCGAGGCCATCCAGCGATTCGTCGAACCACAGGTTGTGAACAATCCGAAGCTTGTTCTTATTGTCGGTTGCCTGGGTCTGGCTTCAAACATCCTTGGTCTCCTCCTTTTCCATGATCATAGTCACGGCCATGGCGGAGAAGATTCCGAAGAGGACCAGATAAAATCAGCTGAGGAGGGTCACGCACATGCTCACGACGACGAGGCCGAGACCAACGCTGTGGCAGATGAATCCGGAAACATCGAGGATGTCCTTCCGCAAGTTCGCGTTGGTGGCTACAAGGGCTCTGATAGAAAGGGCTTCACCAAATCCGATGAGGACAACACCACGATCTCGGCCAAATCCTCCACACCCAACCGCAGATCCGTTGCTAACATCAACGATGTCCATGGTCGACACCGCCGTAGAACATCGGTTGTCGACAATATCCACGTCCATCCCGCTTCATTCCGCCAGGATTTTATTGCGCAAGCTGCACGTATGGAAGAACAACCTGACCCAGAGTCGTCCGCCGAAGAAGATGAAGAAGCATTGCTTGACGGCGAGGGACCAAACGAGCGTTCGAGGATAGTCGGAGACAACAAGAACGCAGCCTCGAAAGGATACGGGAGTATCGGCAAGCGGGCTAGCCATGACTACCACTCCTCCCATAACCACAATCAGAACAAGGACGACTCACATGAAGGACACGGCCACGGCGGTGGCCACGGTCATGGCCATGATTTGAACATGCGAGGTGTCTTCCTTCACGTCCTCGGTGATGCTCTCGGAAACATTGGTGTGATCGCATCTGCACTGATCATCTGGAAAACCACCTTTCCCGAGCGATACTACTTTGACCCTGGTATCTCGCTAGTCATTACCGTCATCATTCTCTACAGCGCCATTCCGCTCTGCAAAGCCGCAAGCCGAATTCTGCTCCAAGCCGTCCCAATGGGGATGTCCATCGACGAAATTAGCGCGGATATCGAGAGCCTGCCCGGTGTCCGCGAAGCGCACCATCTCCACGTTTGGCAACTCAGTGACACCAAATTGGTGGCCAGTCTTCACGTCAAGGTAGACTGTGATGCTGGATCCGAGGCCTACATGCAGTTGGCTCGTGAGATTCGCAAATGCCTACACGCCTATGGTATCCACAGCTCGACGATCCAGCCTGAGTTCTACACCGACAGCCCGGATTCTCCAAGTGGTTCCACTGCTATTGCCGGCGGTTCGGCCAATGGTCAATCGAGCCCAAAGGGAAACGGGGGTGTCAGCCGGAACGGTAGCGTTAAGAGCCAAGAGCCCGCTTGTCTTCTCGAGTGTGGCGACAACTGTGCCGGCAACAAGCAATGCTGCCCGACGGATGCGAGCGGAAAGAGCCCAAAATCATGAATGAGGGGACCATCTCCTAGCATTCAGCCTGCTTGATGCAAACGAGATCGTGGGTGACCGCCGGGGAACGGTTTGTACAAAACTTGAAGGGTTGCAGGTGGCAAGATTGCTGTGTTTGAACTGCTATGAATTGTAAATACTAAACTGTCGCGATGCCAACCCCGACTGACTCATTCATTCTTCTATTTCTACGCTTGGAGGGAATTCAACCACAGGCGTTCCGGAAGTGCACTATGGCGCGTTGTGAAATCGGCGGCAGCTTGAAGTTTTAGCATTACAAATTCGAAGAGACAGACTGTTACAATGTTAGAAATAAGAAGCCTTTCGAGGGTTCTTGAGAAATTTGCACGTTCCAAGTATCAGGTCGTCCGCGTGAGGTACCCTACTACCTCGTGTATCCCATTTTGCAGTAGTCTATCTTTCTTTCCTTTGACTCAATCGAAAGTGTATGGTTGATTTGGAATTGCTCAGCAGCTCGCTCTTCCTTATCCATTCCAAATCAACCATAGATAAAAAAACAAAACCGGCCACGCAACCTGCCACATGGATCTACCCAGGTAGGCGAGGCGGGTGGTCGGCTTGTGAACGCTGAAGGCGACGCTGGCCGCTGCACCGCGGGGCATGGCCCAGTCGTCTCGGTCCACGTCGTCGTCTTCATGGCTCCGGCCATGACCGCGGCAACTATCTATAAGGGGCTGTTTCGATGATGGTGCCAGGGGAGGGGACGGTGTGCGACTGCGCGACGATGACGACGAACCAACGTGTCCGTAGCTGCCTATCTTGCGCGTGGACAAGTTTTGACCATGGCTACGAACCGAGGATGTCTGTGATGTCTGGGAGGAGCGGTCCCCATGCTCACGAAAAACAGGGAGCAATGGTTCTGCCTTGTCGCGCTGGTCCGCCACGGCCTTTTCGGGATTGTAACGCGCTGTTTGGACGAGAAGCACCAGAAGGGTCAACGCGAGGACCTGGCCATAGCAGATGAAAATGCCCAGTTGATCGGGAAGCAGACACAGATGGTTCTGGACTGTGTCTCTAGGGGTTGTCGTCGTCCCGGCAGCCCCCATGACATTGTCCACGTCGATAGGATTCCAAAGACTGACGAGTTGGACGCCGGGGAGACGGATGCCCATGGCCCAGCTCATGCTTTTGACGGTGATTTCCCTGATGCGGCCGGTGAACTCGTTGTGCTCAATCTCGCAATAGTCGTGGTCGTCGCCGGAATAGATCATGGTGATCTCCTCGGCCGTGAGATGCTTGACAATGTCCTGCGAAACTAGCGGCGTGAGGACATTTTGGTATTGGTAGCCTGCTTGTAGGGGGATGGCGGTGCCTCGTTCGCGCATCGGACCGCATGATGTACTGCCGGACCGGTATAGCGGGACATGTGAGAGGACAATGGTCGGAAATTGGGATGAAGTCACTTGAGGAGCGCTGGCTTTTGGTGTTTCTGTTTCGAATTCTTCATTATCTGCTGCTTCTCGTACTTCTGGGGAGAACAGGTGTGGGGCGGGATGTGTCCAACTGAACCGCGTTTCACATGTATGTTGAATCGCCTTGGCTCTGGTGGTCTTAGCCTCGGCCAGGAACTCTTCAACTGGCTTCCAGATCATGCTGGATGCAGTTGCGGCGGCACTCCCGTCTCCGGCGCCCGAGCTGCCTGTTTCCGGGTCGACTTGGTCCATGGCGCTCAGGGATACTGTATCCAGGTGGACGAAGGAGTGGTTGCCAATGATGTCAATGCGGTTCAGAGGGCCAAAATAGGCGTCGAACCGCTCTTTGACAGGAGCTTGGATGCCGGCTGCAAAGCCTAGATCGTGATTCCCAGGAAGCGAGGCCAAGATCCGGCGTCCTGTCGGTTCAGCCGCGGTTGCAGAAGGATACTTCAGCCATGGCCGTATGAAAATGTTGGAGAAACGAATGTATTCCTTCAGCCAGAAGTCCGTGCCATACTTTTGATATCGCTCTTCTGGAGACGTCGACTCCAGTGTCCCCCATTCTCGTCCGCCGTCAAATAAGTCGCCGAGGAACAACGTCGCGTCGGGCCGCAGGTACTCTTGTAGATATCGATATGCTCGCTGGAGATAGAGGTCGGTGTATAGGACGGTCAAGGACGATAGCGGCCACGGTCTGCCCGGGTAGGTGTGTGGATCGACCAGTTGAGGGTCTGCTATAAGTAGTACATGATGAGGTTGGGCGTGAGTTGGCTGGCAAGGCACTGTGTCAGTAAGCGGCCATGATATTCGAATAAGATGGGAATTGTCGCAAACTTACCCACGACTCCCACTGATGCCAAAGACACTGTGCTGCGCTCCGTTGGAAGACTCGCCGTTCGCCCCAGAATAGGACGACAATCCAAAGCAGCACTAATGCAGATGGCAGGCTCCAAAGCCGACGTTTAATCCTAGCAAGGGCATGCGATCCAGCGCCGACATGTTTCGTTTTCATTCTTTTGTATGTGATGACGGCAGGTTGGTACTCATCGTGGCCGGCAGAGGGAGGATGCTCGGAGACCGGTACTGCTTCGCCGCGCGATGGCAACTGAGTATGGTGGGAGAGTCGGCGTCGCTGGTGGTCAATGATGGATGTTAAGGGATATGGCTAATTATGAGTTCTGTATGTCGATATAAGCGTTCGTAGTCGACGTACGCCGAGAAGGTCGTGAGGGTCGCGGCGAAGCGTCCGTGCCCATTTAGACTCGATCTCCACTGGGCCAAGGGGTTATAGGGGCTGGATGCACGACACTTCACCCATACAGTACCAGGAACTGCGTTGTACATTGCAGGTATGCAGAACCTGAATCTGGGAGCTGAGAGCCTTAGGGTCAATTGCTAGTATGCTGGGAGGCTTCCGGTATACTGGCACCGTGACTGGTAGGAACACTTGCGGCGGCGGTAACAAATCCTGGGCACTGTGTGCTGCGAGTAGGGTGCATACCTAGTACTACAATGTTGTACTGACCAACAGCACCACGCAGGCGTCATTCTACAACGTACAACTGGGGTGCCCGTCAGCTACCTGCTGTGCCTGCCCACGGGCACCTTAGGTGCTTCCTCAGGTAACCGCGTTAGGCTTAGACACCTACAGGTATAGCCTTTACCTATCTCCCACTGCATTGCTCCACCGCTACTGCAGTGCCATGCCACCAAGCCATCACTTCATCCTGGTCGACCTCCCAGCACCAACACTGCGACCCAATCCCATGAACTGCTATCTTCGCTTCATCTCCGTCTGAACCATTGTGCCCCACAAGCGTCTCACCGTCAAAAGTATCGCATCGAAAAGATCACCATGTATAATATAAGCGTGGCGAAGCCTGGACGTCTCCAGTCGATACTCATGATCCCTCCTTCAAAAGGAGTTCCAGCCACAAACCCTTCTCCGATGAACGTATTCCTATTGCCTCAAATTGCGACGTACATGGCTGTCCGATTACTGTTCACCACAGGATGGATGGCGTTTCCGTCGCCAGTGGCGTCGCCGGTCTTCTCACCCTGGCCCTACAAGTGAGTGAGACCATAGTGGTATATGTTAATTCCGTAAAAGAACGGTCCAAGAACATCCAAGAGCTGCATAATGAACTTCTGCTTCTCGGAGAAGTCCTCGGCGGCCTACGAGACTTCCTACAGAGCGAAAGTGCCAGAAAGAGTATCTTCGCGACCAACTCGGTGTTGCACAGAGCCCTTCAGGACTGTCGAAGCAGGATAGAACGTATCGGAGATAAGTTGAAGGTCTCCAATGGTGGAAAGGTCAGCCGCACCCTGGAGAAGCTCATGTGGCCTTTCGAGCAGAAAGAGGTCATGCAGATGGTTGAGAACCTCAGACGCTACACTCAGACATTCCAGTTTGCACTTACTATCGAAGGCTGCAAGCTACTGGCCACATCTTCCGATGCCGCCACCGAAGGCTTGCAGAAAATGCTTGACGAGTCACGGAGGATCAGAGAAATGTCGGCTCAAATTGGTCTCTCCACAGAAGAAGTGTCAAAGCGTGCCGCACAACTTGAGCAGATCATCGCGCTCCTGCCCATGCTAGCCCAAACTGCCGTGGATGTGACTGGAATTGCTCAGACCGCTCGCCTGGCAGAACTCCGAGATCAGGAAAGGAGAACCAGCGATATCTTGGACTGGTTGGCGCCCGTCAACTCACTTCACAAGCATCAAGAGCTGCAGAGCAGACGGGCCAAAGGGACGGGGAGATGGTTCCTGGAGCATCCCGACTTCCTACATTGGAGTGAAGATACCACGGCCGTTCGGGATCTCCTCTGCATCGGTGGACCTGGCGCTGGCAAATCGGTGCTTTGCTCACTTATAATTGACCACCTGCGAGCGAAGTTCAAGGATGGCGAGTTTGCTGTGGCCTACTATTACTACGACTACTCTGAGCAGCAATCTCAAAGTCCTGCACAGCTCGCCAGAGTCCTTCTCCGCCAGTTGTGCTCCAAAGGCAACAGCGTCCATTCGGCCGTGGCCGAGTTTTATCAGCGGACAAGGAACGATGTCAAAGATCAAACTTGGTTCCATGACTTGCTGACGGTCCTGCGTAGCGTTGTGGCAACATACAAATGCTGCTTCATTGTTGTCGACGCTCTTGATGAAGCTGATGTGCAAACTCAACGTACTGGGTTCTTCGAGGTGATTGATGCGGTGAGAAATCTGCCTGGCGGCACAGTCAAAGTGCTGGCCACCCTAAGACCTCATGTACCCGGTATCGAAGGCAAATTTCACAATTCTATAACGATCGATATCATAGCAGACCATGCCGATCTTCGCCGTTTCCTGGACGAAGCCGTCAAGAATCATCCGGACTATGAACACACCGTTGATGACGACCTTCGAGAACAGATCCTCGACACATTAGCCGACAATGCAAATGGCCTATTCTTGCTGCCTGCTCTTCAGATTCGAACTATTCTTGATCAGATCACAAAGGCTGATGTGAGAAGAACACTGCGGCATCTTTCAACCAGTCTGACGGAAGCATTCCAGTCAACAATAAACAGAATATCCAGTCTTTCCCTTACAAGGCGTGACTTGGCTTTTCGAACATTGATGTGGCTATCTCACGCCAAGAGGCCGTTGACCGTGGCGGAATTACAACACGCTTTGGCTTTGCGGCTGGAGGACAGGGATGTTGACAGGGACAATTTCCCTTCCTTGAAGACCCTCGTTGACTGCTGTTGCGGGCTTGTCGAAGTCGACCGTCAGGGCTCTGCCATTCGTCTGGTGCACTACTCTTTAGAGGAATACCTGCGTGGACATGATCACGGTCTGTTCGCAAATGCCGACCTTCAGATAACCAGGATCTGCCTCAAATACCTGACATTCGAGTCTTTGAGACCCTTGGTGTTCAAGGACACGACGAGTTTCACTGCTGCAGTTGAGGCTTTTCCACTTCTAAGATACGCCGCTCTTGAATGGGGCCATCACGCTCATGAGTTGGAAGTTGAAGCATTCCAGGACCTGGTAATGCCCCTACTTTCCAACAGTCTATGTCTAATCATGATGGCCAGAGTGCGGGACTCCCGCAAGGCCAACCAGCACTGGAAATCCCGCGCCTGGGCTTGGGCGTACTCTGGTGGCGCCGGTATCTCGGTCGCAGCATCCTTTGGCCTCAGCAGTCTCCTGAAGCTTTTGATCGAGCGGGACAGACAGAATCTCCGGCTAGACATTCGGAACCCCCGAGGGAATACAGCACTCCACGAAGCTGTTATTCGTGGACATGGAGATGCCGCAAAACTATTACTGGACCACGGTGCTGATGTACTCGTCACGAACTACCGTCAATGTACCCCGTTGTTCCTGGCTGTCTCGTATGGTCGCACATCGATGGTTGAGCTACTGCTTCGATATGGTCGGCCACAATTAGACGTCAGTGGTCCGAAAGGGTTCACTGCTTTGCACAAAGCTGTCGAGCATGGCAACGAAGACGTGGTCATTACATTGTTACAGAACGGTGCATTGGTAGGTGCTCACGACAACCATGGTATGACGGCTTTACATCATGCTGCGTTCCGTGGCAACCTCTCCATCGCAAAACACCTCGTCCTTGCAGGCGCCTTCGTGCATGTTACCGATCGCGAAGGCTTATGCCCGCTCGACTACGCTGCAACTGGAGGATATACCGAACTGGCCAAATACCTCCTCGAAAATGGAGGCAGTCTATCCAATAAGGGAAAGACGTCTTGGACTCCACTTCATCGTGCAGCAAGAGGAGGGCACACTGAAACCGTTGCTTTCTTCTTAGATCACGGTGCGAATATTCTTGCGGTAGACTTCAAGGGAAACATCCCTCTCCATCTTGCCGTACGATCTGGCCAGATTGCCACGGTCCAGAGGCTCCTTGAGCACGACCCTGGACTGAAATATGAGCAGCTCTTTGCACGCGATACCAAAGGATCAACACCGCGCGTGGTAGCCTTTTACACCGCCCACTACGATATCCACAAATATCTTCGAGCGGCCGAGTGGGAAGTCCTTGGCCAGGCACCGAGCGTCGAAAATGTGCTAACTCGAGCGATCGAGCTGGGCGATATGGAGGCGGTGCGCTCGCATCTGGACGAACATGCCGACGCCCTGAATATGGCGGACGAAGACGGGCAGCCACCGCTACACGTTGCGCTACAAGAAGGCCGACGAGAAATGGTCGAATTCTTCCTGGAACGCGGCGGATCCATTGAGACAGTGGGCTACCATGGATGGCGTCCTCTCCATATTGTTGCTTCACTAGGTAACCTGGAGCTGGTAGAATTGTGTCTTTCCCACGGGGCCAACATCGAATCACGCACCGCTACCAGACAGACACCGCTTCATAAAGCGGCTTCTAGCCGTTCCGTCGCAGTCATGCGCAGACTGCTTGAGGCAGGGGCGGACCATTCGGCGAGAAACGACCGGGGCATGACAGCCTTGCATGTCGCGGCACATCACAATGACATTGACATTGCGCGTCTGTTGGTGGTGGAATTCGGTGCCGACGTATTAGCCAGAGATCGACAGGGCTTGACTCCTGCCATGTGGGCGGAGAGGTCGGCTCGGCTGGAAGTCTTGGCTTTTCTGCGTGGTGCCATGAAGAGGGCTACGGTGTTGAACGTGACAGAAGCAGGAATAGGCAAGACTCAGAATGGTAGTAGTCTTGGTCGGAGGAGTTCGCATGCCGAATTCCATTCTGGCGTGCTGGAGCTGGTGGATGCCTTGAGCGACGTGGAGCTGGATGATGTTTGATGAGGGTATCTTTTTGTACAGATTCAGATACAGCATACTTCCTGCATGGTATATACAACAAGCAGTTTTGGTGTCTCGTTTTCCCAACTTTGGGATCGGAATCAAATGAGGGCATACAAGAAAGACACCATCCAAGACTAGACTTGACTTGACACCATGCACCATGACAATATGTTAATCTTACAATTTTTCTTTATTTTTGTTCTTTTTTGTAATCGTCGCCGATTAAAAGCAGTAGTAGTTCTAGCTAGTAATTCATCATACAAGAAGTAGAAGGACCCACGCACGCATCATTTCTGGTTAACTCGACCCCGTGAATCTCTGACCGGGCCGTTGGTCTCGCAAACTCCTGGTTTCGACTGTTGACTTTTGACTCTGATGTGAGCGCCGAATGGCAGAAAAAAGAAGACAAAAAAGACAAGCACAATCACAATCGTAACCGAATGGCACCGAACCTGAACCCGAATCCGAACAGCCAGTGCACCGTGCCCGTAAACTCAATTTGAATTTTCCGTTGATCCGTGTCGTTCCTAAAGGTAGGGTCGCAAATAACATTCGCACGCATCGCAAAGTCTTGGTCTCGTACAGTTTTGAAAAGGGGAAAAAAAGAAACAAGCAAGAAACAAAGAGGCGAGGCCACCTTTTTTCGACTGGTGGCCCACCATTGGTAGTAGTTCTGACAATTGATAGTGCGTGTGCAACTGAAATGCATCTGCATCTGCATCTGCATCTGCATCTGCATCTGCCCCTGGCATGCAGACTCAGTGTCCGGACTGCTTTGCCCTGGCAGAGTCAAAGACAAGCCCTCGACGAACGGGTTCGAAACAAGCAATGTTCAAGTCGACTTCGAAGTAGAGAGGTGTCATGCATCACCAGAACCCCACGCCACGATTACTATCCGTGGACCAAGGGGCCCGCAAAGGCGACGGCGACGCCGAGGCCGAGGCCGACTGTTGTCCTTGTTGTGCTTGTGGTTGCTGTTGCTGTGGTTGATGTTTCGCAGGCAGACCGATCTGGCTAGCACTTTCGTCCGGCATGATGGAGGCGGCAGAACTCACCTTATTGTCGTTTTCTCTGGTGATGGCATCGATGTCGGGACCCGGTGTTGGTGTTCCAGTTGGCGTTCCAGTTGCACTTCCACCGGATCGAGTTCCAGATCCACGGGGGACAACAGGGATTCTGGCACCGCCCATACCGACCATGTATCGATATCCATCTTCGGGGTCTTGATAGATTTCGGCGACCGTGTCCATGCGCACACCTGGGACGGGCGGCTTGATCAGGAGCCCCGCGGTGTTTGGTGTGCTGCCTGCGGCTCCCGCTGCGGCTGCCGCTGCGCGTGGTGGAGTGCCCACTCGTTCGGCTTTATCATCGACGCCAGCAAGGACAGCAAGGCCACCGAGATTTCCTGTAGCGGCAGTTACAGCTCCAGCTGGTTTCATCATCATTTGCGGTTGTTGTTGTTTGCTGACCGTGGCAGAAGCGACGCCAACGCGCGTAGGTTGCTGTTCAGCATGCGGAAAGACGGATTTCCCTTGTGCGGCGAGCGAGGCCTCAATCTGACGAGCTTGTTCTTCCTTCTGCATGTCCAAACGGGGCTGGGTGCCGAAGTTATGCATTCCAAGCCAATCGATCTTGGAAACGAGACACATGGCAACATCGAGCATGGAGCGGATCGCCGGGCCATTGTTGACAAGGAGAGATTTCCCCGTAGTTTCGACGGGTGTGAGATCGCCAATTTCTAGGTGTTCATTCTCTGCAAGTATGTCGTTGATGCCGGTGTGCACGACCGACATTTCGTAATGGATCCGACTGTCGCGCGCGAGCTTGGCGTAGTTTTCGGCGGTTGTGGCCTCGTAGCCGTGCCACAGTCTCTTGTCCTGCGGATGGACTTTGAACATCAGACTCTTGGATTCGACCACTTTGAGCTGGATCTTGTCTGCGCATCGACACGCATGGTAACTGACTCGTTTGACAATGACGTTTCGAACCTGCACTTCGTGGTCGCTCGGTTGGCGAAACACGATCTGAAGGTTCTTGCGGTTTGGAACAATGTACAATGACTTGGCGAATGTTTCTGCACTCTTCTCAAGTGGCTCGGGAGCCGAGAACCATTTCAAGTCACCTGAGAGCATGGCAGAGGCGTCCCAGACCGAGGCCGGGACGTGCAAATTGACCTGGCCGATTGTGACGTAGCCCTTGCGAATCTCATGGTTTCCAGACTCGTCGACCAAAATCACAAAATCTTCGTTCGTCCGAGTCTGGCATAGGAATTCGTATGTGACAGACTGTTTGTGCGGCCGGGCGTACCATAACTTGGAGGCGTTATCGTCGTTAGCAGCAGCTCCAGACATTGGTCCCTTCACCTCGAGTGCACGATCAATGTCGGCGCCGTTGGTTGTAATGATCTTGGTGAATGTGGTTGCGCATGGCGTCTTGCTTTGCGTAGGATCAAACAGTTTTTCCCAATCACTTCCTTTGTACAGATTCTGCTCCGAGAGGCTGACGCCCGGCCATACCAAGACTTGCCCGATTGCCATTTCGAACATGACCCTACCGTTGAACGCTCGACATGTCTCGAACAGGGGTTCCAACTGGGACACAAGTTTGTCACATGTTTGTTTGCGAGACAAGTCCTCGACAATCTTTGGATGGTCGTCGGCGACGGGTGCGTTCTTCCGAATCTGGTTCTTCTTCCAGTTGCTCATGGATTCAGTCGATGAAGAGTTCTTCTTCGAGGCCTGCGACTTGGGCGATGATGGTGCTTTTGCTTTTGCCGGGACCGGTCCATGGGCATCTAGCAGTGCTTGAGCTCGACGAGCAGCGGCTTCGGCTTTCGTCTCGTTCTTAACGGGTTGCTTCTTGCCGGGATTCTTGCCTTGTTGACGCATGGTAGAGTGGTAAGATGGCGCTGGATCGTTGTCTTCTGCCTTCTTGTTCTCAAGACCCGGACTTGGGACTGGAGACTTGCCTTGAACTTGTGCTTTGGCTTCCTTTTGAGCTTCGACAGCTGCTATGGCACTTCGAAGGGCATTTTCTCTCAAAAACGCAACATCACGCTTCGGGACTTTAGTGGTCACATAATCGGAACCCTCGTCGCTAAATCTAATGTTGCGATGCGTCGAGGCGGCAGAGGCAGGCGGCTTTTGACCCGATGGACCTGCTTCAATGGGTTCGTCCATGATGTTTGGTGTCTGGATCCGGCTACGCGGGGGAGGCGTCTCTGCACGAACCAAGGGTACATGAGCTTCGAATCCTGGTGGTATTCTCGGCGTGCCGTTGTCTGGGGCTGGCGGATTGGCAGGCAAGCTTGTGTCGACCAGGTCTGCGGGACGAACCCGTGGGGAACCACTCGCCCGACCTCCACGACTTGCACCCACTCCTGGGCGGCTTGGAGAGCCTCGAAACGGATAGCCTCGCATGGCACGGGGCTCACGTGGAGGATTGGATGCAGAGAATTGGCCTCGCGCTGCAGCTTGGGCGTAGACATTGTTGTTGACATATCCACGACCACCGCGACTCTGCATGGTGGCGCGGGGTGTATTTCCAGGATGTCGTCCTGCATGTAGATTCTGGCCACGCCGCAGCTTCTTTGACGGTGTGCCATAGGATTTAGGGTCGAAAGCCGGTCGTGGCGAAGAAGCATCTGCGGTAGCTGGTCGTGGAGGGGTGGTTGGGTCCAATAGAGGTGGTGCCGGCTTCGCAGAAGCTGGATTTGACAGGGTAGATTTGGGTGCAGCAGGCTTTGAGGGTTCATCGAGCTGGAGATCTGCCATGTCTGCTGCAGGAAGACCGGTCGCTTGGA